TAACTGATCATATTTTCTGGACTATTTAGAGCTGGGAAGACACAAAACTTCCCACTTGCAGGGTTTCCCTTACATAGGCGTAGCCGTGGCGGCCCGCCACGGCTGAAATCCCACCGCCACGCCTACAAGATCCCAAGTTTTTTTTTTTGCGCTGTTTCCCGATGAAGCAGCGGGAACTACTATGTTGCCACTTGTGATCACAGCCGGCAGGCAGCAAGGAGCAGGCAGGGCAAGGTGAAGTTAAAGCATAAGTTACTGAGTTTAAAATTAGAAAGGTAGCAGTGGATATAATGCTTTTTGGTTTACATGTTTCAATAGCATTAAGATAAACGAGTGTTGACGATCTTGACAGGGTTTCCTCCAGTGCTTATTAGGCCAGGTTTTCCTCCCCCCACCAGGCTAAGCATCACTTATTCATGTAAAATTTATTTATTTTTTTGTGTCTGACTTTAACCGCATCTAATACTGTATTACGGCGTGAGCGCAACAGCGACAACTTAAGATCGATGTGTGAGCAGCCTGAGAGGTCGGGTGTTTTCATCTGAACCCTTAAAACCTCCAGCAGACTATGCTGCACTATTGACGTGTTAGCGCATGGCGCTAACAACTTAGCGATGTGACATGTCTCGGAGAAAGCGTAAAAACACGTTGGACGCTTCTTCTGAAGAGGGAAAATAACACCTCTTCTTAAGCAGAGCACGACGTCGCCTCGGCTCGTTCACGGCCGAGCCGGTACCGGACTGGGCTCGATAACTGACCCAGCACAGCCACTGGGTCGTTGGAGCTGCCCCGTGACTGCCTGATGGAAATCCAGCGGGTTTCATCAGACTCATAGTTTCTTGTTTTTGCTGGGGACCCCCTGTATTTTACCGCTCCCTCCTGCAGTCTTCCCCTATTAAAATTTAAAATGATTCTGTAAATCCGTGTATCAATAGAAAAAATCTCTGCCTCTGCCAGCTGCAGTAAATGTAGTTTCCAAATAATAAATAAGAGGTGCATTCATCTGTGTATCTCCTTTGATCCGCATTAGTGATATTCTCAGCACCAGAACAGTGAAGCAAAGAAAGATTCCTGAGTTTGTTAGTAATTTTATTTATTAGGTGCATCTAACCTGTTCTATTTTTCTCTGAAATGAGATCAAACCAGTGCTTCTATGGGTTGTCTCCAATCTGCACTGGAAAATTTTACTTTATTTAGCAACTTGTCATAATTCCCCCAACCCCCGACACACACACACACAAACACACACACACACATACATGCACACACACAGCTGGAAAATTTCCTAGGGGAAACACTGCATGATTTGTCACTGTAGTCAATAGTCTGTTGCTGTCTCTGTCATGGAATATTTCCCACATATGAAATATTTTCTCTGCCATATATTATAACTTTAATTTTTATACCATTCCTTCTCCTTGTTATGTATCTTAAAGGAGTTCTAAAATTCTAAAGCACATTTACCTTGTTGTTGGTGAGTGGAGGCAACCTGGGTTGTTAAATGTTCCATAACAGAACGTCTGTGCCACCTTTGTCCTGCTTTCCTGTACAAATTATTAATTTAGTAATGACCACAGAGAAACTGTTCAGTCTTAGCAAGGCTGGTACAACATATCATCGGAGCCGTAGCCCACTTAGACACCCCCTCCTTAAATCTGAATGCCCCAATTCAATTCAAAGTCGTCGAGCTATAAAATGTTTATAGCTTTAGTCGTCATTGGCAGTCAACGGTTTGATATAAAATGACGACTTTTGTCGTCAGTGGCAGATAATGAGTGAAGCTGTGTTGCTGAATTGTCTCAGTTGTCACTTAAATTGTTAAATCAGCTCTAAAGGGTCTCCATGTAAGAATTATGGAACTGTAATATTTTGTCAGGCTGGTGCTTGAGTAGCTATTTTTAGCATACCAAGCATATGGGCATGTACATTTTCAGGGACTGTTATCTACAATGATAACCTGAGTACTTCATGTTCATTACTGCCAACTCTTCAAGAAGCACTTTATGACCAAATCTGAGTTTAACAACAACAGCAAAAGAATTGTACCCTGAGCAAGAAAGGTCCTGAAACTTTAATGCTTAATTAGAAAAAGTACATAAATATTTGTGCTTGGTTATTAGTAAATCACATGATTTTACACAATTGTGTGTTTGCATTTTCTCAAATATTTTGAGTTCAATTGCAGTCACAGTAATTTACTAACATGACATGGAAATGAGAGGAAAATTCGTATTTTAGTGTATTCAAAGACTCATTGTTGCTGGTCTAACTGTGGGCAGGAAGGATCATATGTGACCATCTGTGTTGCAGTGAGTCTGAAAAAGCTGAAGACACTGTTGCCCTGTCTTGCTCAGGGTTCTCCGTCATGTTCTCCATTTCATGAACATTCCTTTTTGTGCAATCAACTCTAGAGGCTCCAAAGCAGTCCCCAGAACAAAGCCAGCCTTTAACTACTATTGTTGCTGCTGCCTCAACAGATTAGTGCAGATAAGATATCTTTGTCCATGTCAGACTTGTAGAACACATGCAAGAGCTTGCTATAAACACCGGAAGATGTTTGTTTCCTCAAGAAGTGCAATCATCTGTGTCCCTTCTTTTAAACAGTTTCACTGTTGTCTCCAGTCCAGTGTGCTGTCCAGGTGAACAGAGATATTTATGGTTCCATGGATGGAAATATTTGTTGGACATATCCCTGCTTCTTCTAAGATCCATGCTCAATTCATTTAATTTCATTTACATTTTAGATGTGATGATGGTTTCCAAACAATTCCACATAGTGGTCCACTAGTTGACTTTAGTTGATATCTTGTCCACCTCTGATACAGCCAACAACTGCAGAGTAATCTGAGTCTTTCTGCTGACGACAGAACTCTGACTTGTCCTGAAAGTCTGAGTTGTGCAGAATAAAAAAGCCTGCTTAGCACTGGTGCTACCGACCACCACCAGCAGGCAAAGGGGCTTAAGTGTCTTGCCCAGTCAATCAGTCCTACCGCCCTTTGATGACTGGACAACCCGCTCTGCCTTCTGAGCAACTGCTGTCCCAGTAGAATTAGTGATGCACCGATATGAAATGTTTGGGCTGATACCGATATCAAGATCACTGTCATGGCCGATAACCGATATTTGCCGATACCGATATACTGACATTAATGCTTCTAAAATCAGCAGATTTTGTATAGAATGAAAATTATTAAAGCTGAATTTACGTTATTATGTACACACAACACACACATTTACCCCAAAATTCCACTACCTCCGCTCCGCTGCGCTCCGCTCCGGCACGAACTCCGCAGCAAAATCGGTCCCGTTGCAGTCAATCAGAGCTGTTCCACTACTGCGGCCGTGCGGCGCAGTGCACCGCCCGCCGTTCCGCCATCCGGCAAAAATAGGATCGATTCTATATTTGCCGGACGCCGGAGCACCTCCGCAGTCAATGGACAGAAATCACAACCGCCCAACAGGAAAGGGAGCAAGCACAACTTCCGTTATTTCATAATAAATCGATAAACAAAAAGCGTTTTTTTTTTCATATGCACAGGTTTAACAACTTTTAACAACTATCAATGGCGGCTGAACTTTAAATGCACAAAAATAAGCCATAAATACAGTTTCCACTATCAAAGTAGACACACTTTGTTGATCCAAACACTGCTGATCTCTCAACACAAATGATGGGCAGATTAAACAGTTCATTTCGATGCTTCTCCCACACAACGGGTGTTTGGATCTAACTTCTGCGTTTATTGCTCGGACTGTATCGCAAGATCTCGAAAATCCCGCGCATGCCTGTTTGCGCACCTCAGGTCTCCGCACCGGAGCGGAGCCGTTGTAGAGCGGGTACTAGTAAAAATTGAATTCGGAAGCGAGCGGCTGCGGAAGGCGGAGCGGAGGTAGTGGAATTTTGGGGTTACAGTTCTGACATGATTTCATTTACTGTTCACATGACTAAACCAATACACATCACCCCCTCACCCTCTGAAACAGGCAAACAAATGGAGACGAGATGGAAAAATATTGGCTAACATCGGCCTAGTTTTATTTATCAAACCGATACCGATATTTTTAAAAATGACTAACATCGGCCGATGTTGATGTCGATATATTGTCCATCCCTAATTAGAATTCAAATGTTAGCTTCAAACTTGAGTAACATCTTGCCAAACCAATAGGTTAAGGGTTAACTAACAGGTCAGAAGTACTCTCTATTATCACACGTGTGGCTTGAACCAGCTGCTCTTTCAGTGTTGCTATGCCTCTGAAACTGTCATTTTACATAATTTGTCTGTAAGCTGTTTTTATAATTGCTCATTCTCAGTTTCACATGACAATTAGACATTTTCTAAATTTTCATTCTAGAGTTCCTTTTTTTCTTATTGATGTCAACATTAGATTTTGCATGAAATAAAAGTAAAATAAAAAATATTCTGACTGAACGCATAAATAATTTTATGTGTGTTTGTTAATGAAATAAATAATTAAATATCAGAGCTTGCAACATGAAACTCTGGTTTCTTCGCGTGATTGATTTGCCTGTTTACTGACAGACAATGTTTCTGTATTTTCACCACAACTTCACTGACATCTAAAGATAAAATCTGAGTGATAAATCTTATCAGTTACCATGGAAACTAAAACACTGCACAAAGGAAGTGGTGGGAGCACATCTCTTGACTTAATTTGGAACAAAACAACACAGTTTTAATACTTTAGAGTTAAACCTGCATACCTCTGAATATATTTATTGAACTCGGCGTTGGATGTAATATGTGGTGCTTTTTAAAAATTTGCCTTGTTCAACTAATGAAATTTGAAGTCTGAGAAAAACAATTTTTTTACATAAGACATCACACCTTGTAATTATTGCCTCATAGTAAAGATACATCCTTCCACTCAGTTACAATCTTCATTATTTGTCTTTTTACATGTCTAATTATGTTTCTGCTAGTGTCAGCAGATAGGTGGATTAGTCTGTATAGAGGTGTAGGTCACAGGATTATCAGTTCATCCCTTCTGTTCCTCTCATCTCTTCTATCTGCCTCTCACTGGGGCAACAGTCCAGTCCAGCGCTAGCGTTGTTGTGATCTGCAGAATCTCCGCTGAATCCCAGAATGTTCCGCTATGTTAAAACTACTTTGGTTGGTAAGGTTGAACAATGGATCCCATTGTTGCAGAAGAGATTAATTTCTGCTATGGATATTAAGCGCTGAATGACAAGACCCACGAACATCTGAGCTAATTAAATTTAGTGTGATAAGAAAATAAAACATGGGATTTGGAGTCTATTTTTTGCCAGTCGTAACTGGAACTATTTTTTGTGTAATTTTCTTGTAATTCCCTCCTGACTGTTTTGGCTACAAGAATAGAGGAATAGCTCTTCTGTTTTTGGAACACAGCACGCTTGAGGAGTCGGAAAGCAGATGTTATTCTTCGGTGTTCTTGGATTGTGGTCAACACTTTGCATTTGGAACCGGACATGGTCCTATACCTTTTTTTGGAACAGTGAATTTCTGAGTGAGTGGATGCCTAGTATGGCCATAAATCGTTGCATTTCTTCTTTGAGGATTTGTGTCACAAAGTGAACTTCTAACACTGTATAAAGAGTTTATTGGATGCAACTAGTCTTGTTTAATATTCCACCATGGCATCTGATCCTTGTCCTCTCACTGGAGCAGAGAGGGCTGTGTGTAGACTGGTACATCATGGAGCCCGACCACAGGCAGTGCTTAAACCTTTACATTTGGAGCTCCAAGTGTTGGTGAAGAAAATACGAACCAAGCAAAAACACAGGTACTGTCAGAAAACCAAAAATTTCATGTGGGCATTTTACCATTTTAAGCAAGGTTCTCAAATAAGATGGTCTCATGTATGTTTATTCAACCTCTGTACTAGTACTTACTATTCAGGCCAAACACTATGTTGGTAACACCGTAAATTTGGGCAATTGGACAAATTATTCGACCATCAGCAATTCGCCAAGCCCTTACTGATCATTTATTATGTGTGATAATTTTTTTATGCTCGCAGACGGGATGTTGCAAACTTCCAAGTCAATTCAACATCTTTTTCTATGTACGTATTATATGACACTTAAGTTGAAAGCTAGGACTCTTGTGATTCCAATGATTTATTGCAATCAATGATTCAACCATAATTGTAGACACGGTAAATACATTTGTCAAACCACTCAAATTCTAAATGTCTAATGCACCGTTCAAAACCTCATATCATTGACAAACTAGAGCCATCTCCAACAAGAATGGTCCATTTACATCCAGAAGTCCAATACAAGTTATCCAATAATGTACATGGTCCACAAAAAGTATTGCTGTTGACAATCCAAAGCAATTGGGTTTACCATGGAAAACATAAAATACTTCCCTCAGATGCATATTTCACAATCCCCAGTAGCATCCAAATGTTAGCTTCAAACTTTAGAATGACATCTTCTCAAACCAATAGGTGAAGGGTTGCTGGGGTAAAGTCATCAGCTATTGGCTGACAGGCCAGAAGTATCGCTCTCCATTTTCACATGTGTAGTGCAAACCAACTACAGGGCAGTTTGTAATTGATTAATGTGTCAAATAGCCAATAAAATTTAGAAAATTTAGAATTTTCACAAACTGCATAAGAATGTTTTATTGTTGGAGTGCTCCATGCAGTGTGTCAGGCCCTTTGTATGTTTAAATGTCTCCTGCGTGATTATATCACTCATCGTTCTTTTTTGGACTGAGGAATATTGCTTGGAAAATTATGATCCATCACCCAATGTCATAAGATGGGAAAATAAATGCCATTCATGGGGAAATAACAAACCAGATACAACTACTTCAAACAAACAAAAAATCCTCTAAATCTTGTTGCTCTTCATTCTTATAGAGACTTCTGTTAAACTAATGACATTCCAGGATAATCCATCTTAATTCTAAACTCTGGTCTCTTGTGAGGAATTTGGGAGATACAACCAAATTGGTTGGTGTTTATTTTTTCCTGGATTATGCAATAAACCTGGAGTGTCTACTTTCTGGTGACAACTTTCTGATTAGGTCTTCTTTTTCTTTTAGTTGGTACTGAGTTTGTACAGAAAATCTATACATGAATATGCAGAGGGCCTCCAAGTGTATGATCACAGTTGTTTTTGGTTTCAAAGTTAATCGCTTTCAATAACTTGTAAAGATCAGTGGAAGATAACTTGTTGTCATGGCGATTCTGCCAGTTTGTTCTTAAATGTAGGATAATGTTGCCCTCGTACTCGTGACACTGTACTTTGCCATTTTCTACATTAGAAGTATCTTTGTCTTTGTGCCATTCAGGATGGAGGCCTCTTGCTTGGAGTTGGCCTTGGAAGGAGAGCGACTGTGCAAGGCTGGAGACTTTAAAGGTGGGACAGTGTTTTTTGAAGCAGCAGTCCAGGTTGGAACAGAAGACCTGAAGACCCTCAGCGCCATTTACAGCCAACTTGGTAATGCCTACTTCTACCTGAAGGAGTATGGCAAAGCCCTGGAATACCACAGGCATGACCTAACTCTAGCCAGGTGATCACTCATCCTGATAAATGTACAGTTTTTGTTGTTGTTGCTTATAAAGTATTATGAAGTACTGAAGCAGCTTGTCCTCAAGAGAATAATACATGGTATGCTGAACATGGTGATCAAGTTGCAGCATCATGAATGTCCTGTTTTTGACTTAAAGGTCATGATCTGCTGCGTCTGCTCGAGCAGAGACATTAAGTCTCTGACAGGCTAATCTATATGAGATAGTAGCCAAGGTCTTTCATGCACTCTGCTTATCTGAACTGCTTCACCTTTGTTACCAAGCGAAGACGAAGAACTGTTTTGATAAATACATAATCAACAACTTTGTTAATTACCAATAATAATGTGAGCCCAATGTTCAATCTGTGAAATTACAATATTATTACTTGATATTATAATCCTGTGATCAGTAGTATTTTACAAGTTATTATAATCTTGGACATTTGCACTAGACACTAATGACACATAATGTTAAAGCCACACGACACATTTCCTTTTGTCTGATCCAATCAGAACCTTCGTTTCTGGGGCTAGGCGTGGTTTTCTGTGGTGTTTGTATAAACCCTCTTTTTGCATGTCAAATTCTGATTCGCCAGTAAACCAAAATATGACAATTATAAAACTATCCCACGCTACCTTTTATTTAGTTCAAAGTGTTCTAGAGAAGTCTCGGACAGGCCATCTGGACTTCCTCTTCAGCCATAAAGAACCTCAGACAAGCTGGATAAAATCTGTTGCAAGTGACACCTGACCGCAACGGTTGCTTCAGAATAAAAGCTGAACCTCACGACCCCTTCAGGGTCTTGGAGACGCCAGTGATAACCTGTCGTGACCTGGAAGCATTCCAAGACTAGTTTGGTCAGCACCGCTGCTTTTCTACCGGCTTCGGTACCAAAGAGGGTCCACTAGGACCTCGGCATTCTGGATCTGATCGGAGGCTTCCCTGGGGTACGTAGACCGACAGATGAAGTTTCATGTGTGTTATAAATCTCCTACTAAAGTTTAGAGCGAAACATTCACTCCCACTCAGAACTAACTGCTTCTCCGGATCCGCTGGTTCTGAATAACATTCCACACACACACCATCATCATCATCACGTCTCACTCCACCTTAGTTCCAGCAGTACACAGAGTGTTTAAGTTAGTCTTGTTTAAATTGTGTAGAAATAAATTTCTTAACTATTTTAAACCTGACTCTCTGTCCTTGGAGTTAATTCGAAGTGTCACTTAATCCCTGCAATAAAAAGTTCCGATCTTCTGGTTAAAATAGTCAAAGATCCATCAGATTGATATTTCATATTTCTATGGATTCTCACATTTTATGGTTCATAAGTAAGATGTAAACGACCCATTCTTTACAAAGTAAAAAAAGCTTTAATACGTCAACTTCCCTAGTAAATCGTTAACAATTTAAATGCAGTAAGACTTTTGTGGCTTCAGGCCTTGTCCATCTGTATCCGGATTTATTTAAAAATATCCACCATCGCAAAAAAAAGCGTCCACACCACCTCGTTTTTAGAAAAATCTCCATCCACAAGTAACCGCATAAGTGTATTGTCATAGGCATGCCAGACCTGTAGGCAGCAGTAGTTCCCCCGAACCCTCTCCGTTTAGTCTTCCAGCTCAACTTCAACGAAACATGAAACATGTTGCCTAGCTTCCTTGTGTGGACCGATGAGGAGGTAGAGTTGCTCTTAAATGTAAGTACTTGGATGATTGATAATGCAAGAACAGCTCTGAGGGCATCCATGTTGTAGTGTAAACACAGGTTGCACATGGGCCGTCAGCATTTTTGTCGCAGATGGTGACGTGAAACCTAAAACTCTGTCCACACAGAAAAGCTTGAAACGGAGAAAAGGCAAATCTTCACTTTGGCTGGAGTTTTTTAAAAAGATTTGTTTTTGTTATGTAAATTTGCGTTTTCGTGTGGATGAGAGGCAAAATCGTAGAAAAATCTTTGTTTTGGGAGATACTCTGCTACGTGTGGACAGGGCTTCATTGAATCTTTTTGTGAACATATTTTTATTTCAGATTAGCACCATGATAGCACCAGATTAGCAGGAAACAATATAATTTACATCACTGTGGTCAGCTTGTTTTCAGAAAGAGCACCATTCACTGCCAAATCTGGCATATCTGAGTGGTTTCGTGCTCATGTTTCATCTATATGACATGCATATGGTCCCTGAGGGGAAATGCTTATAGTTGGCCTGATGCATTAAATGGTAAACAACAATAAACAGAGCAAATCTGTAAATTTTACTCTTTTAATGTAGAAACACTCTATGTAAATGTTGCCAAAGCTAACTGCTGCCAGTGGTTGATGCTTATTGTCACTTATGATTACATTTTGGTTACAAATTCATAGTTTACAGTTTAGCAAGGTGCATTTACTTAGGATAATTTGCCGCTATTTTTTACGAGGTGAATTCAAGTTACTGTTTCCAGCAGATCTGTGCCACAGAATTTAAAAAGGCCAGTCAGAATAGACAAATAATGGAGGACTTTTGTATAGTAAAAGTCAGCAACTGCATGCTGGACATTGAGTTTGTGAGTAATCCGGTCTCCTGCAGTGAGTGCATCTGGTACTTCAGCAGGGAAGTGATTAAACACCCCCAGGAGATCTACCTTGTTACATTACATTCTCACCAGGACCACTGGGACCTGATCCCTGGAAGGAAGCAAATAAAGTAGCATAATAAATCCACCAGCAGGTCCCTGTTAAACCTGCTTACAGTGTCTTAATGGTGATTGTTTAACTAACTAATTAATGCTGCGTCATTGTCGACACCAATACAAACTACCAGGTGTTTTCTCTCTCTCTCTCTCAGAACTATAGGAGACAGACTTGGGGAAGGAAAAGCTAGCGGTAACCTTGGCAACACTTTAAAAGTGTTGGGACGCTTTGACGAGGCCGTCGTCTGCTGCCAAAGACATCTAGATATTGCTCAAGAGCAGGGGGACAAGGTAAAGTGGTGTCCTTTAAAAATCATCTGGAACTAACAGGAAAGTGTTTGACACAACCTTAATCTTTAACCCATCTTTTTTCTCTGTGATGTTGTAGGTAGGAGAAGCCAGAGCGCTGTATAACATTGGGAATGTGTTTCATGCAAAAGGAAAGCAAAAGTTGTGGGGCTGCACCCAGGAACCAGGAGACCTCCTTCCTGATGTTAGAGACACTCTGCAGAAAGCTACTGACTTCTATGAGTACGTAACATGAGCAACATACTCACAAATGATGGAAAGGATACATTTACAGTGGCACCTGATATAAACAGACAAACTTAATTATCAGTGTTGGAACTTCTTACCCCGGGTTTCCACGGGAGCCATCAGCAGCACGTCTTGCTCGCGTAAGCTGCTGCTTGGCCCTTCCCACGAGACGCGAAGCAGCAGGGGAGCAGCTGTCACCGACCGAGCACGTAGTCACACGAGTGACTTCGTCAGTAAACACAACAATAAGCAGGAGAAAACTACAGCATGGTTTGTGTTTTATGTTCTGTCCGTTTTATAATCGCCAATACGGACCTGAAAAACAAAGGAGACTGCTAGCTAGGTGATAACTTCTCACGGGGACGCACAGTTAGTAACTTTTTGTTAAAGTAAAGCAACCGGAAGGCAGTACGTTCTTTATTCTGAAAATCTCGGTAGCTTCTCTCCATTTCCGCGTCCGATTTCCTGTCTTTCCTTCCCCAAAAATGTCGAACTTGACCCGTTTCAGAGGCGTCGCGCGTAGAAAATAGAACCGGCGCGTAAAGGCCGCGACATGCTGCTCCTGAGACGCGGCCGACTCGCGCTGCTGACGGCTGCCGACGGCTCCAGTGGAAAAGGTTCTGTTGACCACAGCCGTTCCTATCAGCAGCTATGACGTGCTGCTGCAGTAACGTGCTGCTGACGGCTCCCGTGGAAAGCCGGGGTTAGGTACTCATTTAGCTGTGCACTTTGATGATATTGCCCAAGTTGCCAAATTCATTGTTACCTCCACAAATGCTCAGCCGCGGCTGAAATTCCAACAAACAGTGAAATGATCTGCTTCCCCCACGGCTGGAAAATTTCTGGGGGAAACACTGAAATTAGACAATAATTGACTCTGCATAAGGGGTTAGCAACAATATCAAGTGCAAAAAATGTAAACAAGGGTAATCTGTTGGTAGAAAACACATTAGGATGTGTCTTTGCAATATTACTGAATATAGAAATGCAAAATACTTCAAATATTATCAGACAGATTGTATGAATGCAGTTAGAGCTGCAGTTAACAGACATTTTTGGTATTATGTTAAAGAATCCATAGATTATTTGAGTAACTGGATATAGAGTTTGTTGTTCCTTCCTACATTTTATGCTGAATATCTACCAGTGTGCACCTATAGATGGGTAGAATGTTGCTGGTGTGTTTATGTGGTGAACAAATCAGGTTTAACAGTGGTCTTTTCACTTTTTAGTGTTGAAGTTCCAAACCTTTGGGATTTTTGTCACATATCAGTACACACTCACCTAAAGGATTATTAGGAACACCTGTTCAACTTTTCCTTAATGCAATTATCTAATCAACCAATCACATGGCAGTTGCTTTAATGCATTTAGGGGTTTGGTCCTGGTGAAGACAATCTCCTGAACTCCAAACTGAATGTCAGAATGGGAAAGAAATATAATTTAAGTAATTTAGAGCGTGATGTGGTTGTTGGTGCCAGACAGGCTGGTCTGAGTATTTCACAATCTGCTCAGTTACTGGGATTTTCACGCACAACCAGGGTTTACAAGGAATGGTGTGAAAAGGGAAAAACATCCAGTATGCGGCAGTCCTGTGGGAGAAAATGCCTTGTTGATGCTAGAGGTCAGAGGAGACTGGGCCGACTGATTCAAGCTGATAGAAGAGCAACTTTGACTGAAATAACCACTCGTTACAACCGAGGAATGCAGCAAAGCATTTGTGAAGCCACAACACGCACAACCTTGAGGCGGATGGGCTACAACAGCAGAAGACCCCACCGGGTACCACTCATCTCCACTACAATTAGGATAAAGAGGCTACAATTTGCAGGAGCTCACCAAAATTGGACAGTTGTGCACTGGAAAAATGTTGCCTGGTCTGATGAGTCTCGATTTCTGTTAGACATTCAAATGGTAGAGTCAGAATTTGGTGTAAACAGAATGAGAACATGGATCCATCATGCCTTGTTACCACTGTGCAGGCTGCTGGTGGTGTAATGGTGTGGGGGATGTTTTCTTGACACACTTTAGGCTTCTCAGTGCCAGTTTGGCATCGTTTAAATGCCACAGGCTACCTGAGCATTGTCCATCCTTTCATGACCACCATGTACCCATCAGCAGAATAATGCACCATGCCATAAAGCGCCAATCATTTCTAATTGGTTTCTTGAACATGACAACGAGTTAACTGTACTACAACGGCCCGCACAGTCACCAGATCTCAACCCGATAGAGCATCTTTGGGATGTGGTGGAATGGGAGCTTCATGCCCTGGATGTGCATCCCACAAATCTCCATCAACTGCAAGATGCTGTCCTATCAATATGGGCCAACATTTCTAAAGAATGCTCTCAACACCTTGTTGAATCAATGCCACATAAAATTAAAGCAGCTCTGAAGGCGAAAGGGGGTCAAACACCGTATTAATATGGTGTTCCTAATAATCCTTTAGACGAGTGTAAGTATGTATTGCTGATAAATATTTGTACTTTGCTCTGCAGGATGAACTTGTGTTTGGTCAAAGAGCTCGGTGACCGAGCTGCCCAGGGAAGGGCCTACGGGAACCTGGGCAACACCCACTACCTTTTAGGTAACTTTGTTGAAGCAATCAAGTTTCATCGTCAGGTGAGAAACCCTTACTAAATCACTGACGTCAGTTATCAACCTCAAACAGCTGTTCAGTTCACTCTGATGCCGTTTTTGTGTGTTTTAATGGTTTTATGAAAGAGTGCTTCTAATCAAAGGTGCTCAAAGTCAAAACTGTTTTTGTATTTCCTCTTAATTTTACTCTAAATTGCACTCAAACACATCACTGTAATAAATAGTCCTAAAGTATAATTTAGAGGAGCTGTGGAATTCAAAATCACATTTACCTTTGTTGGTGTTGAATAAAAGCAGGTTGAGGTGTCAAATGTAGCTTAAGGTGTATAAACGGTGGTGGCGGTATGCTAAATGCAGAACAATACTAACACAAGCTACTGCTAATGACAGCCCAAGCTACTGCTTACATCCATGTTGAACAAGAGGAAAACGACAAAGAAGAATGTCTGAGCACACATGTAACGTTCCAGGATGTATTAGAAATGTCCAGATTATATCATTTATTCAGATTATAATTATTACTAACAATCTGAATTCACATTTGAGGAAAAAACATCCTCTAGATGCATTTTCAATGCAACACAATCTGTCTGATGTTGTCCTCTGCGTGCAGATTGTTCCCTTACAAAACAAGGAGGGCATTGCTTTCTTGGTGATCCATTGGAAAGTGTTGCTTCAGGCTCTTTCTCCTGTGTTTTTCTGTCACTCTTCATTGTAAACCACTTCTTCCTTTGTGCGAGAAACCAGCCTCTTCTCTTCTGCCCATTATAAATCTATCAGTGTGCCACAGAGGGGAACTCACTGCCTATAAAAGGAAATCAGAAGGTTTAATTTGATGTTTCAGAGCTGCAAATGCTTCTCTGCAGAAAGATGCCCAACAGAGCCTAAAACTTAAATACTCAGGAAAATTAGCTGTATAATGATACAGTTGTAATAAAAATAATAATAAATGAAAAAAGGCTAAACATTTATGGGTAGTTAAACTCTTGAATCCATTTTATTTCATGTTGTTTCTGTCATTTGCAGCGATTATCCATTGCTAAAGAATTTGGAGACAAAGCAGCTGAGAGGAGAGCTTACAGTAATCTCGGCAATGCCTTGATATTCCTGGGACAGTTCAGCACTGCTACGGAGTACTACAGGTGAGGAGAGAGTGTAGGCTGACATCTAGTGGAGGGATGGTGAAGTTTCCTTTTATTACTAATCCCATGTGTTTTCTCTCAGGAAAACTCTACAACTCTCCAGACAGCTGAGGGACCAGGTGATGGAGGCTCAGGCCTGCTACAGCCTGGGAAACACGTACACGCTATTGCAGCAGTACGAGCGGGCCGTGGAGTACCACCTGAAACACCTGTACATAGCCCAAGAGCTCAACGACAGGTAAAGTGAGACAGGGAAAAGGTTTTAAAGTCCACTTTCAACAGGTTTTAATTGTCTAACAAAAGCCATCTGAGCCTTTGAAAGTTTATTATTTTAGTTTATTTCCAAAAAGAGCACTGATGTGCTTTTGGTTTAACATTTAGTCAACATGGTGTGCTATTCCATATCAGCACACATCTCAGCCTAAGTGCTGTTTTACATTCTACAATGACACAGAAAGGTTATTAAAACTTATTTCAAACTCAGTTTCTTCCTACTAAATAGTCAAAGCAGAGTTGTTCTAATTAATGATTTCATGAGATAAAACCCTGCTGTGTTCAGGACAAATAAAAGATGGAGGAAAAAGACCAAAACATAGATGTCTATCATCTGAGACCACCTCTCTCTTCTTAGACACACTGCTCTCCCTCGTTTTACCCCCAACCGGTGAAACCAGCGGAGCTCAGATGGCGTCCTGCTGCCAGTGAACTCGCTACAAGCCAATGTAGAATATTTTTTGAGGTTGTGATGTTTGTGTGCTGTGAGTGAAAGTTGTGTGGGTCAATAGTTCAAAGCCATGGGTGTTTGGTTGAAGATTAAGACTTGGAACTAAAGATTTTGCTCACGGGTCTTTCTTGTAAAAAATAGAAGCCTCATAAAGACATAATAACAGGAATATTTAACATTTGTGCGTTCTTTCCTCTACAGGGTTGGTGAGGGTCGTGCCTGCTGGAGTCTAGGAAATGCATACGTGTCTTTGGGGAACCACAAACAGGCTCTCCATTTTGCTAGAAAGCACCTAGACATCTCTAAAGAAGTGAGATATAAAAAAAAAACTGGGATATTTACAGTTTTCCTTTGATAGGAGTGGTGTCCTTTTTAAAATTTTGTGTATTTTACCCATTTTTAAACTTAGATTGGAGACCGAAATGGGGAGCTGACAGCCAGAATGAATGTGGAGCAGCTGATGGAGGCTCTTGGAGTCAACGAGAATGACCTTTCACCCTCCAGTTCAGAGTTTGAGATGCAAGGTAACATCAAGATTGCTTTAGTCTTCTAGAAAGGATGATGACGGCCATTTTGAAACCTTGAACTTCTGTGGACAATCAGTCATTCTAGGTGACAGTAAAATATTAAAAGGGATGCTTTGCAGCATTTTCACGTTTTTAAATACTTTTCTTGAGCCAGTATGTGCTAAAATGACCCTTTACAGAGTTAAAGAAGTGTCACTCAGACGCTCACTTAGAGCCCTGCACGGGCCTAAAATCTGAGCCCGTGTCCGGCCCGGCCCGAGGGGGTGGAGCCCCAGCCCGACCCGGCCCGAGAAGGTTTTCAGGATTCTCTGGCCCGGCCCGAGGCCGAGCCCGACCTTTTTTTTAACCTTTCATAATGTTTTAGCGTGATAGAATGCTCAGCATTCTAATTATCTGTGAGAAGCGTTCTGCAGTAAAAATAAATAAATAAATAAATGAAAGAAAAACAGCATCAATGCAGCTTTTTTTCTAACAGAGCGCATTTTCAGAGCGGCAGATTAAATAAACGCCCCCAATTAATTATAGCGTTTGTAAATTTAATCTGCCGCTCTGAAAATGCGCTCTTGTGCAATTAGAAAAAAAGCAGCATTCTAATTGTTTAACTGCAGAGCGCATTTTCAGAGCGGCAGATTAAATAAACGCCCCCAATTAATAAAGTGTTTGTAAATTTAATCTGCCGCTCTGAAAATGCGCTCTCCAGTTAGAAAAAAAAAACAGCAATGAATGCTGTATGTTTTTAACTGCAGAGCGAATTTATTCACAGAAAAATAGAATGCTGCCGTTTTCAAGAGAATGAAGGAATGGTTTCTGACATATCAAAGTGGACATAAAATAGAATAGGGGCACATGTTTCAATCAGCAGTTTGATATTTCGTTTATATAGGCACATTTATAAACCACACAGACCTTAACTGAGCTTTTAATGGCATAATGAACATGGCAATAAAATTATAAGAACAAGACTTTAAGAACAGCATTACATCCAATTTAACAAAGGTTGAGCCCCTTAACGTGGCAAAAGTCCTCCATTTTCTGAACACAACAAGAGGAACAGTTTATTTGGCATCATGCAGAAAAAGAATGGCATCCACAGTTTCAGGGGCAAGTCCAGTCCTCCTTTCCTCTATCGCTCTTCCAGCTGCGCTAAAAGCGCGCTCGCTGCTGCTACTGCTGGCCGGGACACTGAAGACCATGCGGGCTAGACGTGCCAGTAAAGGCAATAAGGTCTCGTGTTGCTTCCACCAGCTCAGAAGATCCCTTCCATCAGTTTCCATTGTGGGGTTGAGGGTGAGGTAGAACTGGACTTCATCAGCATCCTCACTCTCTTCTCTGACATTTTCCCACGCGTTCTCAAACTCTTCCAGCGCTCTCCTCTTTGGTGCAGGATAAGCAGCTGCTGCGCTTGAACCATCTGCGTAAAATCATAACAAAATTAGGCTAATTTAGGCCAATATATAGCTACATTAGTATGCTAACAAAACAAAAATACCTGATTGTCCTGTAGCCTGCTCCTGCCGACGCGCTGCAGCATCCTCCCCCTCTCTGAAGCGGTTTATCAGGATTCTCACATGTTGCTGGATGTCGGCCCTCTCAGCGGGAGTAAACATCCGCAGTTGGTTGAACTTTGGCCATAAAAAAATGGCAATTTTATGAAGTGGCTGGATTTCGATTTTTTTTGTTAACCAGTCAAGGTGCCGCTGGCGGATGACTGCCTGGGAAGGAGTATCAGCCACGTCCAGCTGGCAGTGGCTTTTCAGCTTGTTGGCCCAGAGAACAGCGAGGTGGAGTGTTGGGTATTTGTCTCCTTCTAGCTCCTTTTGCGCGTTGTTAAATGGGCGCAGAAATTCCACAAGGAAGGCAAGAACATCTGGGGAGACATCGCGCAATCGTGCGCTCTCATCACGGCTCTGAAGAAGCTCCTGCAGCTCTGCATGGACTGACTGAATTGACTCCAGTGTGAGGAAGACTGTGCTGTATCTTGTCTCTGCCATTTGTTTGACGGTTTTTGGCAGCTGAGAGGCGAGACCTGACTGTTTCAGGTAGCGAACTAAAGCCTTGGCCGCCAACAGGGTCTCCGCTACCTCTGGGACTACTTCAGTCAGCTCATCGGTGTTTAGGGCATGTCGGAGGACTGTGTTGTACAGGTGATCTTGACAAGCCAGGTGCCTGTATGGACGGAGAGCAGCCAGCACGTTTGCGCCCTGGTCGGTTACCCAGACAACGTTGTTCATAACGGATGCATCAAAGCCGAGGACTGTGACTAACTGCTGCTGAAGCTCTTTTCGGATATTATCTCCTGTTTTCGCATGGTTTGGGAAGCATGTTGTGGTGAGTAGCTTGCTCTTGAGTTTAAATGTTGGTGTTACATAGTGACACGTGATAGCCATGTAGCTCATTTTACGGAAATCATCCGTCCACATATCTGTAGTCATGCCAATATTTATGAGTGACATCACCTTTTTTATCTCCTCAACTGCCCCCCCCCCCCTCATTTCACTGGCCATAATTTTGCACCTTCGGGAGATTGTGGTCGGGTTGGGAATAACTTCATTGGCTGAAATGTGGCCATATGTTGCACTGACATTTATTAATTCTTGAGCTAACTCTCTGAAACCTACTCCCGCAACCGTTTCAAATGGCCGAATGTCCATGCAACAGAAGTTCACACATTTATTTGCGACCTCCGACTTCACCCTTTCTGGTGGTGGTTTTGCAAAAATGAAAAAATCGCTCACACTCTGCTGTCTGTCACCGCTGCCGGATCCGCCGCTGCCGCATGAACATTGAAAATGTCTCTGGAGATGGGATGAACCTGTTTTTTTGCTGTCATATGACAGAACAGCTTTGCATGAAACACACTGAACAAACCCGGTTGGCTCATTTTGAAGGCTTGTAATAATATTAAACTTGTTCCAGAACGGAGCTTTTCCCTTCGTGTTGTTGACGCTCTTTAATTCGCCTTTTGCAATCTTTCTCTTTATGTCCTCCATGTTTGTGGTGGGAGTTGGGGAAGTCCCTTGTGTAAAAGCGAGGGAGAAATCTACAGGTGCCGGTGCGTGAGAAGCAGGCAGGTGCTGCTGCGTTCAAGTGTTTCAGTTTTTTTATGAATTCGATTAAAAATAAAGGCGCCCGGCCCGTGTCCGACGTAATTACGCCGTCATAGGCCCGAAGCCCGGCCCGAGGGCCGAGGGCTTCAGTGCAGGGCTCTACGCCCACTGCCCCTTGTGGCCAGAACATTACACTTGCAACTTCAGAGTTCAGAGTCCCTGTTGGACTAATTAGTGGAGCTGACAGGCCAGCACTGCAATCTGTTTCCTGCATGTTTTAGATCGTGAACACAGCTGATTTGTTTGATTTAGTGATGAACAAACAGTACTGCAGCGAGATTAACATGTTAAAAATACAAACGCACAGCAAAGGAGATGAGTTTTGGTTTTGGTCTGGATCAATTCAATTCAATTTTATTTATATAGCGCCAAATCACGACAAGAGTCGTCTCAAGGCTCTTCACATAATAAACATTCCAATTCAGGTCAGTTCATTAATCCAATCAGAAATAATGTTCCTTATATAAGGAACCCAGCAAATTGCATCAAGTCACTGACTAGTGTCAGTGACTTTACAGCAATCCTCATACTAAGCAAGCATAAAGCGACAGTGGAGAGGAAAACTCCCTTTTAACAGTAAGAAACCTCCAGAGAATCCTGGCTCAGTACAAGCAACCATCCTCCATGACTCACTGACCGAGAAGACAGAACAGACGCGCGCACACGCGCGCGCGCACACACACACACACACACACACACACACACACACACACACACACACACACACTTGTCCATGCTACCCCCAACTGTGGAATGGACTGCCTATTATTGTAGGGCAGGCTCCCTCTTTAGCGGGTTTAAAATCTTGTTTAAAAACCCACTTTTATAGGTTAGCTTTAACTTGTGACTTGTTGGATAGTTTCCCTGTTTCATTGTCTTATCTGTGCTTGTAGCGTTTTCAACTTCTGTATTTTTTTCAGTTAATCAGTCTCAATTTAGCTGTTTTACCTATGCTTTGGTGTTTTATTTTTATTTTATTGTGTTTAGTTTGTTGTATTTGACTGTGCAGCACTTTGAACTGCTCTCATGCTGTATTTGAAATATGCTATACTAATAAAATGGTATTGTATGGTTTTACTAACAAACACAAGGGGGTGCTAAAAGCAAGACAACACTGCAGAGTATCCCTTTTATATATTCATCATATTATGGCTTCATAATAATTAAAATATTGTATTTCAATAAAATGCAGAAAATCAATCTTTAGCATGACCATAAAAGCAGACCATTTCTGAAACCTTATTTGTTGGAGTAAAGCATACTCCTTTATTCTTGGGTGTTTCCTGTATGATAATAATCCAGTTTGCGTAAAATCTTTCATGTTTGCAAAATTGTGTTTAAGTTGGGATATCTACTTGAATGTAGATTTGGCCAATGCATGAATCAACTTGAAAAATGGTTTAAGGTGGTGGTTATTTTGGGTCTGGCAAATTTCCTATCGGTTTACAGGGAGGGGGCGGGGCTTAAAACTCAAATTGCAGTCAACCACTAGGGGTGCTGAAGTTCTTTTTGGCTTTAATTTCCACATTACATTTCTATGTCTGTGTGGGTCAGGGAATAGCAAACCATGAGGTATCAACCTCCATTTGCATAATTGTTTATATTTATGTCTGAAGTTTTGAAAGTACACAGACTTATTTGTGTGCCATTGTAACTCTACAGTTGATTTGATGATCAGCTGCGTTATTTCATCTCTAGAATCTGGGAGTGCATAATGGGTTTCAAGTTGACTGAATTAGATTGCAAACAGGTTTGAATGTAAGTTGCTGATTTTTGTGAAAGAACCTGCCTCGTCTTCTGCAGTGTCTGTGTTTGACAAACTCTAATCAAGCTAACCAAGATTTTATGTGTACACAAAGCGGCCATGTGAAAAGTAAAACTAACTTTAGGTGAGATGGTGTCCATGTTATGTCTGAACTGAGGCTAAATAAGAAAATAAATGATCCCTCAGCTCACATATTTGGACATTCAAGCCTTAAATAAGAAAGCGAGAAGAAGCTGTAATATCTGTGAAATCTTTCTGCTGTTTATATAATGTTTGTATTCATGAGCGCTCCTCCAGGCAGCTCCTCACACACACACACCCTACATTTCTCTTTTGGATTAGAGCTGGCAAACAGATGCTTGTTCTTTTTTCACTTTATTTGCCTCGGTGTCTGCTTCTTACCCACATTAGCCATCACAAGACCATGACTGAAACTGCAGGCTTGTGAAAATAAAAAATATATAAACAGAAGGCAACCTGAAAATGTTTCATCCAGCTATATTTGACCATTTGATTCTCAGAAGTTGTGAAATGTCTCGTCTGGCTGTTATGTGATGTAATATTTATTTACAAATGTGTTTTTTTTTCTGTAGGAGCCAGACCCAAGATTACAAAGAGAAACAGCATGGATAGTGTAGAACTGTGGAAGTACTCTTCAGACAAGGTAAAGGAAATCGTACTATAAATTGGGGCTGGGCGATAAATCGAAAATATATCGTAACAGAAAATTTTGACTAATCAATATCATTTTCCTTAACTCATTCACTGCCAGCCATTTCCTGATCAGAGAAGCCCTTCGCTGCCAGCGTTTTAACTTCATTTTGAGGAGTATAAGAACATTGCGCTCTGAGGATGTCAACGCCCAAACTAACAAAACAGAATAGACTCACCTCTTACATCAGGAAGAATCTGCGCGTTTCGAGCATTATCCGTTCTTTCATAAACCGTAGTCAAATTGTGATCGGCAGAAGCTTTTCCGGTTCGCGCCTCACTTTTTTTTTACAGCAACGGCCCAAAACGATCTCCTAACACATGGAGTTTCTGCTTCCTGATCACGTGACATGTGACGTACACGGATGAAGATCGGCTTTAGAGCTGGGATGTTTGTTCTCACGGTGCGGGGGCTCGTTCCGACGCCCACACAGTAAAAAAATGCCAGTGATGACTTTAGTCATCATTGGCAGTGAATGAGTTAATGACAATAAAATCAATAATAAAAAAATATAAAAGAAGTGTGGTGGTTGGTGACGTTCATGTCCCTTTAAGAAGCTGTACCACCTTGAGTCACGTAATACACACGACAGCCCCATCTAGTGGACAACTTTTTCTTTTTGCGCATTCATGTAATTATTGTCCTTTTATAGTTATCGGAATGAACTCAATATACTGTTACATTGATTTTAGGCCATATTGCCCTGCCCAACTATAAATATAAACTTATGTAATTAGTTTTTGTTTAACAAAGTGACCTATTTCTGCAGTATGGTGACACCCAAAACTTGTCAAATATACCAAGAAGATCCAAGAGTCAAATATCTCAGCCTGGTAAAAGGAAAGGGTATCCTGACAGTCAGTCCTCTGATGAAAGACCCTGGTTGGACTCGCCAGTAGATACTGATGACATCACTGTTCAAGTCCCTCCTCCAGTGAGTAGCTCTAGTACCTATTTTGAATTCTAAGATGGGAAAATGCGATGATTAAATCAACAAATTGAACATAATTTTTTCCTTTTGGTGATGTGCAACAGTGAAATTTATTTTTGCAAAATATCTTGTGACGTACAAACATTACCCGTTTCTACATCTACTCTGGATCTATATCTATCCACAGAAGCTTTGGTGTGAGTGACTATCAATCAAACCATGTGTGCAAAAATATGTGCTAAAAGCTGCTTTATCCTTCTCCATCATGGAGTGACGCACATGCGTCAGTGAACATATTTCTATTTCAGATTTCTCTGTTGTCTTAAGAGCCTTACTAAGTAGTACGTCACCAGGACGGCACAAAAACAATGCAACACAAAAAGTCTCAAAATAAAACAAGATGTTTTAATGATGTTTTAGATATTTTAAATAAAACATAAGCTAAATGTGAAAAGACTAAATTCTAAACACTTCGAGCTGTTGCTCTAGTTTCGCTGCGCCCTTCGTGTCAGCGGACACGGTAGGGTCAGGGAGGGGGGCGGGGCATAACACTTAGCCTGGCGGGCTGCCAGGCTTATACAGCGCTGGGGGAAACCCTGTTCAAGTAAAATGTTGCTTCAGTGGTGAATAACTGCAGGGACAACGAAGGTTTGCTGTGTTTTTTGTCATCAGTATTACAGTAAGGTTGGGAAACTTGTGCTTTAATAGTAAATGGGAGAAAAGGCTGAAACTGCAGAGGGAACTTTGCTCAAACTCCATCCATCCATGTTCTTCCGCTTATCCGGAGTCGGGTCGAGGGGGCAGTAGCCTAAGTCGAGAGGCCCAGACTTCCCTCTCCCCAGCTACTTTGTTCAAACTATGTATACTTTATGTATTTCTGAGACTTTTTAGCAAAGACCAATTTTCCCCTCATTCTCCTCCACCTCTTCATGCAGGCACCACATCCAAACCCACATTTAATTTTAATAGTGAAATCTGCTGTGCCTCTTTGGACTCGGGGAAGGTTGTCCAAAGTTGTCTTCCCTGAGATTTTGTGATCTGCTCCGTGTCGAAATCTTAGGCACTTGGTGATGTTGAAAAGTTTAAAAGAAGCATGCTGACCAATCACAGGCTTGTTCTCTCTGTAGATATGAACTTACAAAAAAAAAAAAAAGATAGGGCACGTCTCCGTCACCCTCTGTGGGTCTGCTGCAGTGCACTTACGTTGATGGATGATGGCGTCTGTGCACCCCCACAGATGGAGACGTATAAACTAGACTTAAGAGCGCACGGTGGCGACGTGTTTTTTGACATTAATTAATTTGTGATTATTTGCAAGTTGACTATGGAACTCATGAGATTTTTGACAAATATTTGGCAATTGTCTTCAAGGAATGCCATGCCTTCACTTATTTTATGGTTTAGCTGTGCCATAGCACATGTTAGCATCTACCAGTTTGCTGTGAAGAACATTCCTAATGAATATGCTGATTCACAGCTGTTGTGTCTTCGTGAATGGCCCCTGCAGCATCTAATTATTCTCTCATGCTGCGATGATGTTAATTGTTGTAATCAGTTGGCTGACAGACTGGGGGAAAAGGTGGAAATTGCTGGGCTGCGTTCTTGTAATTCATCTCAAGCAATTAGAAATGACACCCAGAAGGAAATCATCTTCCTCTTGATGATACTTGAGTAATGCGACAGCCCTAAGGTGTGACCTAGAAATGCCACGTAAATGAAAACAAATCAGGCCACCTGACGGTTTAATCTACAAGTATTGACTTTTGTACATCAAATTTAACTCTACAGCTCAGACAGGGCTGTTTCTTGTGTTTAGCCCAAACTTTAGACTTATTGTTTCTAAGTATTGGTTGAAAATCAAATTCTTGGATCTCTTTGTAATGGTACTCAGAGATTTTTAAAATGAGAACGTTTTGAAAGATAATGATTGTGCTAAATGACTGAGGCTCAGCTGAATATCTGAAGAAAAGGAGTCATCCTGCTCATCAGGTAATTAGTCATGTAGAAATGAATGAGCAGCAATGTTCTTGTTAGTATGATTAGACCTATTATTTAGACAGTGATATGGTAAACGATGATGACCTCATGTTGCAGCTACAGCTGTCAGAGTCTTTAAATTGTCCGTTAGTCCCACAAAGGTGAATGTAATGGCTTCTAATATGGTGGAGGGGAGTGATCTGATTTTGGTAAAAACCTTCTCTGGGAGTAAAAGGTGAGTGATGTTGAGTTTAAAATATATTAAAGAGAAAGTTCAATAAGACACCAGTTTTTACTTTAAAAAAAATGATTGGTCACTCTGAGGTCACATGCAGACTGAACAATTGCTCAGATTTTGTAATTTTGCGTTAAAGGACTCGCTCGGCTTGAATCACGATGGGACAGGGTTAGGGTTCATCCTGGCCGTGGAGCACTGGACCAACTCTATACCCTTAGGAGGATGCGTGGGAGTTTGCCCAACCAATCTGCATGTGTTTATGTAGATTTGGAGAAGGTGTTAGACCGCGTTCCTCGGAAAGCCCTTTGGGGGTACCTCAGGAGTGTGGTATACCAGGCCCTTTGATACGGGCTGTTGTTTCCCTGTATGACCGGTGTCGGAGCTTGGTCCACTTTGCCGGCTGTAAGTCGGGCTCATTTCCGGTGAGAGTTGGATGCCGCCAAGGCTGCCCTTTGTCATAAATTCTGTTCATAACTTTCATGGACCAGAATTCTAGGCACAGCAAAGATGTTGAGAGGATCAGTTTTGGTGGCCTAAGGGTTGTTGAGTCTTTGCTGGTGAAGGTTCTCAGTTATCCAGGTCATGGTAATCCAAAAGGGTTCAGATGAAGGCAACTGGACTTCTTTGGTTTCAAGAAGATGTTTTGCTTCTCATCGGAGGAGCTTTGCCATTTCTGACTGGAATATGGGAGAGTCAAGCTTATAAGCTGCAGCTGTCTGTTGGTATTTAATAAGCAGAAACTACTCTGAATACCCCTCCTCTCTACCCACCAATGAGACTTTAGCCTCTGTTGTGAGAGAGTTGTTGTGTTGAATAGATGCAGGAAGGTGTGACATAGACTCAAACTGCTTAGGAATGAGATTCAAAGCTGCATTATAGGTGCTGGAAAGATGAAACCTAAGTCCCAGTGATCAGGCTCAAAGTGTGTCACATAAAAAACGGTCTGCCGGAACGGTCCATAAACCGTGTCGGTTCTCACAGATGGAACAAGTTTTAGCAGATAGGCCTGGCATTCTCATCTTTCGCTATGTAATATCATCATATTGGCCATTTACAGGTTAATACAACTTTTTATTCCAACTTGAAATCATTGACTGCAGTTTTCTTTGCTACCTGTAATAAATGGTTTAATTTTAGGTGGTTTGTGTTTCATTCATTAAAATAAAAAAGTGAAAGTAGTTGGTTTGTTTTTGGTCACTTTGAGTTCAGCATTGGGCTGCTGCTTTTATGGTAGATTTATTTATTTATTCTTTCTTTCAGAAAGCAGTGTCCTGTTTTTGACCCAACTATCTATCGATATCTAAAGCCGCGTTGGGCCAAAACGTTAATCCATAATTTAGGATTTAAATGGCCGAAGACCCTTTAACTAGAGAGGAGAAAATAACTAGTTTGTGTTTTGCTCACTTTTGCCATCAGGTCATAAGATCATTGCTGTGCTATTTCCTTCACAATAGAATTCTCCAGACAGTAAAAAGAAAAAAAGGACATCACGTATCAAGTCATGTGTTGTGTTTTATCGGTATTCACCTACATCTGAGCAGACCATGTGATGTTGGGAACAGTGTTCACACTTTCCACTAAAACTTTGCGAATTGGTTGACCATTACATCTTTTATTTGCAACTTCCTGTAGTTTCTCCACTTTTATCCTTCTCTCTTTCTGTCTCCATCAAATGTTCTTTTTTCTCTCATTCTTTCACTTTGACCTACTTGAGTAATTGGACAGTGGAATCCACAAGAGGACCGTGAGGGACACAAACATCTAGGAAGTCACACCTGGATAGATGTTTTAAAGCACAAGAATGATTCGGCAGATTTCTGCTACTTGTGTACTCATGACTACACCCCTGCACCCATCTTTCTCTGCTCTGTCCTCCCCCCTCCCTTTAGTCCTCCATAGTTCTGCCTCTCAGCTGATAATGTGACCTTGATCACAGAGCCGGTACCCTCCCCACAGGGTCAAACGCCCAGCGTCCCATAATGAGTTGTTTTCCCACAGTGGGTGAACAGGACAAAAATGGCCTGCCGGAAAGCTGCAGAAAGAGCGAGTGATAGAGGGACGGGGAGAGAGTTTTCAGTTTAAAAGAGGCCTGAAAGAGAGGGATAGAAGAGGAGAGCGAATTATCGGGTGGCGGGTCGTGTACGGCAGAAAAGTAAAGAGAGAGAGGGAAAGAGTGGTGGTGAAAGCAGAGAAGGACGTGTGATCCAGGAGTGTGGACAGAGTGAGAGAGAAAGAGTGCCCAGGGAGGAATGAGAGATAGAGCACAAAGAAGTATTTCTGCTGGTGAGATGTTTTACGTCTGCTCTACAGATTAAAAAAACACCGCTCAGAGGATTCCAGAAGGGTATTTATGCTGTTTTTCTTTCTGAGAAGACTCTGCATGTATGTTGTGTTGAGTGGATGCTTTAGTCTGGAAACATTCAAAGAGTAAGTCTAGGTTTTATTATGTGTGGAGGCAACTTCATGATTTCTCCAAACAAAGATGAAGTGGTAGGATTGGTGTCTGCTGACACCCTTCACGTCTCGCTTAAGGCAGTCTTTTTATTTTTATAGTTTTTGCCTCAGAAAGAACACAATCTGCAAATTATTCAGTAGAAATGAAGTTCTTCATGCAAAGAAAATGCTGCATTATTCACTACGGGTCAATAGATTTAGCTTATAGTCGTTTTTTGTCCCTGTTTTAAATAATTGAAGCTGTTTAAATGAAACATTTTGTTCTCAGCCTTGGATAATACAAGCTTTCATGAGTTATTTGTTGTTGGTCCACTGATCTAGTTTTTATTGTAACATTTTAAATGGGTTTAAGGTGTGTGATAGAGAAATATTAAAATATTTATTGATTTGTTTTGTTTTACTCCGTTCAACTTGGTATTAAAGTTACCTGCTCTGAGACTTATCATTAGTACTTTTTTGAAGCAATTAAATATTATTATTAACTTGACTTAGTGGAGCTGTTGTAAAATGTTCCATTATGCTCTTAAATTAAAAATACTTTTTTATTTTATCTAAAGCCTATCAAAGTGTATTTTTTTGTACTTCTCCGTAATCTTTAAATTCACCTTTTACATTTCAAATGTAAGTAACATGTAATAGATAACCATTTATTTTTCAGGAAGTTATTGGTGAAAAACTAAACATAGAGCTGTGTTTTACTCATTTAATAACAAACTTGATCCACTCTGTCAGCTTAATTACTTTAGGATTTTAAAGGAATAATAGGAATCAAATCAATTTAATGGTTTTTCCAGTAGGGAGCCTAAGTCACTTTCGCATCATGGGTCCCCGGAAGAACGAAAAAATGAATGCAAGTCAATCGGGCTAAAAACATTATTTTCTAATTCCTCTTGTTATGTACCATGGATTTCACATATGATGCCCGTGAATTTTAAAGACGCATTTTGATACCAATGGGGGGAATGCTATTTTAGGTTTTGTGTGAAATTAAGTTCAGAACTACAAATGCACTTCACGAAAGTGGCGTCATTGAACCAGACACTGAGGGAAAAGGGCTGTAAGTTCAGCAAACATCCCACAGGAGGAAAGAGCCACCATAAATCTGGTCATTTGGTAAGTGGCAGCTACTTTGGGGAGAGGAGATTATGTGGCGACGTAACATATGCGACGTGCCAATTTCTAGTTTGTAGTCATGCTAATAATGAACTTTTACAAGCTAATAAATCTGAAAGTACATGACAGGCATGGTCGAAACTCCCATCATTACTTTTCATTTAAATTGCAGTACAACACGCGTGCGATCCAGGGCGTAAGGCAAAGCGGATCACAAAATGGCGTTTAGCCCCGTTGACTTGCATTCATTTTTTTGTTCTTCCCATGATGTGGAAGTGGACTTTGGCTCCCTACAGTCTTCTCTATAAATGGAAAAGTTGTTTTTATGTTTGCTCCACTGCTGCAGATATGAATGTTTGTGACGCTAACAGGCTAACACATCATTTACTTTCATATTAAACAGGAAGAGACGCAGGATATTAACCAGAAACTGGGAATGTGGGTGTCCCACAGGAAAGAGTGACCGTCCCCCTCTACTGGCCAGATACTGCACTTAACAGATTTGTGGAGGGGGTGGGTGTTCTAGGGGGTGCTCTTATACATGCATTACGGCTGTAAGCATTACTCTTAACTTAGCTTTTCTGTTGGCATCATGGTGGAGACTGGAAGTAAACTTCTTTTTCTTCTTGTGCTTTTTGTTGACGATAAGGAAACTGAAAAAGCGAACTGCACAGAAAGAGTTAACAGCCGTAATGCACATATAAGAGCACCCCCTAGAACACCTACCTGCTCCACAACATTTTTAAGTGCAGTATCTGGTGAGCAGAGGGCTGCAGTGTGGTGCCAAATATGAAAGGTCAAGTTTCTAATCCAACAATCACCGACATCAAAGTTAAAGCTCTAGCTTAAAGTTTATAAAACTATTTAGTATTACTTTAAGTTGAAGAAACATGATATTTGGTGTTTTAGTTTAACAATTAGTTTTAAGATATACCAAGGCTTTTGTTCTTCTTTTATGCAAAAATGTAGTAATCCATTTTCACAGTTTCATATTTAAAGTCATTTCTGGGTTACTTACTTGATTTTCACGCATTTAATTCGGCTCCCCCCAAGTATAACTGTCATAACATTTCAGCCCAAGTGCCATACCGTTTAGAAACATTTGGTAAATACTCATGTTTGCTGCTTTCACAAACTATTAAGGCTATTAATAGTAAGGTTATTAAAGGGAATCCCTTGGTATATTTAAAACAATCAATACATTTTTGTATAAAATATCAAAGAATCTCTTTTAAATTCACGAAACAAAAGTGTAAAACAAAAAAGTAACATGGGACTCCAAAAATTTAGTTTTAAACCAGAATTGAAGAAACGTCTACAGTTGACATTTCCACCATTACTAGCACATTTAAACGCCTCTGCAGCAACACATACATCATTTTCTATCTTGATGCAGCTTTACCTTCATTATCTAGGCCAAGGTGTTCTCATCTGGAGAACTATCCCTTGTGTGTTGCTCAGATTATTTTATCATACAAAAAAAAAAAAGAAAATCCTCATTACGTGCCTCTTCTTTACATTCAGGCTAATTAATGTACCTGTAGATTGGGATTCTCAGCTCAAGATGTTAAACTTCATTAGGTTGTCCATCAAAAAGCAAGAACTATCTTAATGTTAGAAACTTATTTTACATTTAGAATTTTCTCCAAAAGGACAGTCTGTATTCAGTCTAGTAACAAAAGATCACTGATATGATCTCAACAAGTTAGAGAAGTGAAGGAAAAAAGGTTTTAGCAGAAAACAGCTTAGCAAGTTTGGACTTTTGTGTTTCAGAAGCTGGGCCGTGACCCCTCTGATGAGGACTGCTTCTTTGACCTCCTTAGCAAGTTCCAGAGCAGCCGCATGGACGACCAGCGCTGCCACCTAGATGATCCACAAAACGGAGACAACAGAGAAGGAACTGCAAACACACCAACCCTAAACGAAATGATTGGTGGGTTGTTAAATGATCATTTTTGGACATTATGAGTTCATTTTAACAACTCTTTTTCTCTGTTTCTCTTTAGATCCCGCTAATACGACTTCTCCGCAAACCGAGGAGCTTTTTGATTTAATCGCTAGCTCTCAGAGTCGTCGTCTTGATGACCAGCGCGTGAGTGTTGGAAACCTTCCAGGCCTTCGGATTACCCATAACAACCTTGGGCACCTGGTTGGTGAGGGAGATCATCAAGAACCCAGCGATGACTTTTTTAACATGCTTATAAAATGCCAGGTGAGGACACCTCTCCAGGCCAAACTCTGGGGTTAGCGTAAAATATTTTAAAGCCATAATAAGCAAGTTTTCCATATTTTTAAATTCTTTTCTGGAGCCAGCATGCGCTAAAATGACCCTTAACAAGGTTAATGAAATGTCACTAGGACCCCAACGCCCCCTGTGGCCAGAATACCACTTGACAATAATAAAACTGGTGCTGTAATCTGCTTCCAGCACATTTCCTGCATGTTTTAGATCATGAACACAGCTGATTTGTTTAATTTAGTGAGGAATCACTCCTGTAGAAACCAATGAGGGCTGGGGAGACATTCCAGCTGTTTTTCTTTCTGAGAAGACCGCGTGCATGTTGTGTTGTATGGATGCTTTAGTTTGTTTGATAGACATGCTCAAAATTTTAAACATCCGTCGAAGTGACTGAGACGGAAAGCTTGCGATTGGTCAGGACACCGCTTCCTGTAAATTCGTCACCAGCACCGCCATTTTCCTGTTCAAGAGTTAAAAGATTTTTAGCGGCAGACCCAGAACAGATTGAAGAACGGATCGCGGAAAATGTCCAAAAATATGAACCTTTATTCACCCGTGACTGAAGGAGTATAAAATATGGCCAAATGTTTTATTCGTGGATGGAAACGTGGGTTTAGAGGTAGCGACCGCATGAAAAGGTGGAGGGGAATGAATGACAAATTTGTCCGTGTTATGGTGTCATGATGCCACAGAAAATCACTACGCCCTCTGTTGTCCTGGCGGGGAATTGCTTTGCAACACTCCCCAGGTGACGGAGAGGTCCGAGAGCACTACAGGGTGCTAAAAGCAAGCAAAACTGCCAAGTGTGCCTTAAACGTTTTGTGTCTAATGCAATGAAGGTTTGTTAATAACTCAATCAAAAGGCAATTATACATTATGTAATCTTGTTCACTTTGTCAGATTTACTTCTAACCTTTACTGCACAGGTGGGCTGACTGATTGGATGTTTAGAGAAGCAACTATGGAATATTTTGGTAATGAAGTACTGAGTACTAAGATTTTCAATGGGGCATTTAATACAATCCAGTTGTTAAAGGTGGGATAGATGATCCTGGGAGAAGTTGCTCAAGTTAACCACATTTAGAAAAACACACAATTCAGGGATCAAACCCCCTTTTGTCGGGCAGGCAGAGTTGAAGATATCGGAATGTTATTTTTGATTTTAAAGATTTATTTTCAAAAGCTAAACGTGTCAAACGTTATACTGATATTTTGGACAAATAAAGAAGGTATAATTTCAACACAAGCATTACAGGAGAACAGAGGAAACTGTAAATATTCTTCTGTCGATGTCAGACTGATCAAATGGACGTTCGAACTCTCTCCATTCTTTTTAAATATAATTTCTTTAAGAATAAGCAATAAAACCAAAACATGAAGACAGAAGAAATCCATTTTATATCATTGAAAATGTAAGCAGCTTTAAAAGAAAAAAAACTACAGACATTAAAATAGACATTGTCTATGCTCAGAAATAAATTAAATGTAAAACATCTCCTACCTCACTGTTTTACTATTTATTAAAAACTACCTTCAGAACATCTGGCATCTGTTCTGTAATAACCCAGACCTTCCCGTTCTTCTGGAAACATTTCTGAAGCTCAGTCAGTCTGAAGGATACATTTACATGTGTGTGTATCTATATGTGGCTGGGCTCTCCCTTAGAGATAGGGTGAGGAACTGGGTCATCTGGGAGGGACTAGATCCGCTGCTCCTCCACAACGAGAGGAGCCAGTTGAGGTGGCTCAGGCATCTGGTTAGGATGCCTCCCTGGAGAGGTTTTCCGGGCATGTCTAACTGGGAGGAGGCCTAAAGGGAGACCGTAGGTAGTTTTCCATGAGCACTACTCAGAGTAACTTGGACTGATGCAGCTCGGCCCGACCACCTTTTCCATGAACAGGGGTCGGTATTTTCTACCCTATTTTAGTCCCCTCTCCGTTGAGGTATCTGGCAAGTGTCGGGCCGGCATTGTGACTCTGGCCGCTGATTGGCTAGGGGGTGTTCTGCCCTCTGCTTCACTGCCTGCAGCCATTTCCTGGACCAGTCTGACAAAAAGCCATAAAACCGAGCAAAAAGTCCAACAACACCACTCTTTTTCAGCTGAGTTGTGTTTCTGTGGAGCACACAGGTTACCTTACACTGTTGACGGATCAACGTTCCGTAACGGTCTCTCGGCTGGCCAGGGAAAGCCTTGAGATTCCCCCGGAGGAGCTGGCCCAAATAGTTGAGAAGAGGGAAGTGTAGGCTACTGACCCTGGATGAGCAGAAGAGAATGGATGAATGGGTATATGGGTGTGTGTGTGGTGGAAAGCTGCTAGTTGCAAATGAGAGCAGAGAAGGATGATAATTGTACAGACAGAAATTAAAATGTTTGGTGTAAATCAGATAAAGCTGCTTGGTCTGAATTATAAAAGGACAAGATAAAGATGTGAAGGATCAAATGAAATACTGGGCCTCAAAAAATGCAGTACTTGACTAATTTTTAATGTGGCTTCACTTTGGTTGATCAGATGTCCAAAAATTACCAATAAAAATCCATAATCAGGCAACCTCTTTTTAATTGGACCAATCTTTCTGATTCCAGTCCTCGAGGATTGATGATCAGCGGTGCTCCCCACCAGAAGCAGGACCTCATGCACCTACAGTGCCTGATGAAGACTTCTTCAGTTTAATCCAGAGGGTGCAGGCCAAACGCATGGACGAGCAGCGCGTCCAGCTGCCCACAGAAGACCTGGCCAGCCCTCAGTCACCCGACCCTGAGCCACCTGGTGGCTTCCTGAGCTAGAGCTTGGTGAATAATGCTGCATAATTTCATGTCAAAGAAAAAATTATCACATTGACTGTGCAAGAAGGATGAGCCGGTGCTCGAGGACAGCACTGAAGAGTGAACTAACCAGATTATCAATGAGACAAATTCCTTGTGCAATAGATGGCGCCCCGTTAAATGTCACTTAATGAGATTATTGTGTATGAATATTTAAATCAAGCAAAGCAGAGGCTGGCTGATGTAGGAAGGAAGAAAAGAGATTTAAATTATAGTGAAAAATCTCAATCTAATGCCTTAATCTGAGAGTTGCTTTTCAGACCCAGGATGGGTTTAGGACACAGGTGGACACGCTCGGGGTGGAGCGGCCAGCAGTGTGAGCTGTGAAAGTTACGTTTTCTAAAATCATAAATGCTGATTTTAGATTAATTCAAAAACATTTCTCTAAACTGCCATAATGTTTATCACTCGTTAACGAGTGTTACTTGTGCAGTAACAGTGTTAATATTTTTGGCTTTTGGGAGTGTTAAACAGCTTTGGTTACTTTAAATTTAATAACCATGATTCTTTCTTTTAAAATGTTTAAGTGGGATTTAAATAAAGTTTCATGAGCATGTTTTTATTATATGCAGTCATTCTTTTTAAATAGTCAGAAGCAAAGATTAATAAGCAAATGATACAAACTGCTTAAATGGGAAAAAAGGTTATGGTCTAATTTAAGCTTAAAAAGTATTTTTTACAGTGTTTTATGTTTATTAACAGCTGATCATAATACTCTGAGCATCTGCCAGCAAACAGCAGTTTACAGTGAAAACGTTCCGCTAACAGCATTTGAGCAGACATGCCTTATATTTTACATAATGTAATGCTTTACATTCAGGTTGTGTTGTTAGTAGACTGCCTCTCTGTGGTCAAAGCCTGTCATTACATCTGTGAATTACTTAGACTAAAAGAGTTATGACATTAAAAAGTGTGCTCTGTGGGAAAGAGGGGCAGCTGTTTGAACAACCTTAGTTTGACTTAAATAATTTGGAGCAGATTGATAGGCTAATGGCTAGAAAGAGTAGGCTTTAAATCAATGTGGTGTGCTATCATCATGAATAGATCATATAAGTCAACGCATTACCTAGTTTATAAACATTTGGTTATAGAAAGAACAATCCTGCACATGGTTATTTGGGAAGACACATGAGACAGATTCAATCTGTTTAACGGGAAAATTCCCAGGCTGCACAGGAAGTCCTAGAGCTAGCTGCCGCAATAAAAAACTGACAGCCATGTAAAGTATAATTAAAAAGAAATCCTCCACATGGACTGCTATAGAATTGTTGGGATTAGAATAGTTCAAACATTGCAGGAATTCAGTTTTGGTCTTGATCCAATTTAGACTAGCAGTTAGCACATCGAAAAAAGGTCATGGTCTAATTCAGTCAGTTTAACAGAGAATGCCAGAAATGTGCCCATGTATCTAAATCGACCAATATTTAGCATGATCGGCTTAGTTGGTGATCAGACGATCCCAAATCCTGATATTCTTTCAGTCTGTGAGTTCACGCTTGCTAAACTCTTACTAAAGCTTACAATAAACAGATCTTCTTGTGTTTTTTCAAACATACAGTTTTCAAGATAATCAAAGTCTTATTTTTATCATAGTTCTGAAAAATTAATCTAAAACTGCCAACATCACTATTGGCAGGTCAGAGTTGTACAAAGATTGAAATTCAGCGTCTGCCATCAAAACCATAATCAGTGAAACTTTAAAGGTGATCTTTGTTTCTCTAAACTGAGGTTGTTTAAAAACCCGTCAACAACAGGTTCATACGGCTTTCACAGAAACACATTCTAAAGTTTCTAAATCATTCCTATAAAGAGTAATAATAATAATAATATGGTGAGGAAAGACTGAAAGCCCTGAACAGCTGGTGTGTTGTGGTACGTTGCACCTTGACCACGAGGAACGTTCTTTACAGTTTAAGGTGCTTCTTTAAAACCAGATCTAAGCAGGAGAGGTACTGATAAATAAAACCAGCAACAGAGCATCTGTTTGATGGTAATCCATAACTTTGACCTTACCTTGAGGCTTCTTTTATTCTTTATAACTAGTTCACACCTCATGGTTGTATCTCGAGGTTAAAAACACTCGGTACGTTGAAATCGTGAACCACATTCATCTCCTTGGTAATCATTGGGAGCTGCAGGTAATCTGTCCCCTTTTCGTCTTTCATTTTCATTTTGTAAATTAACATTCATAGAAAGTATCTGGTATGCTTGTAATTGTCTTTGCCGTAATTTGTACATATAAATATATTTTTTATTTATGTTCCCTTTTGAGGACATGAATCTGTTGCCTCATGCTTTTAATAAAATGTTTCAGATGTCCATTTGAACAAGGTTGTAGGTTTTTTTTCTTTACGAACCACTTCCTCTTTAGGTTCTAGAAACACTAAAGGTCCATCAGAGGGACACGGCATATTCAGTCATGTAGAACATTTTAGAGACTGGATTTACCAATAGTTCTTTTGACTGAAGAATGCACAAAAGGCTGCACTAACTGGTTGTTGGCCAACTGTTGCTGCAGGTGTGTAACCAAGATGGAGTAAGAATGGAAAACACACAAGCAGCTGTTCTTTCAGCTGTGCAAATACGGTCAGAGTTATCACTGTAGATAGATGTCTGCTGGAGGTTTCTCCCTATTAAAGGGGGGCATTTTCCTCCCCACTGTCGCTACATGCTTGCTTGGTTTGCAGGTCACAAGTCAGTGACTCAGTGCAATCTCTTGAGTTTCTTTAGTTGGAAAAAATTAAACTAATTGGAACAATGAACTCAATTCAATACACTGATAAGTGAGTTCAATTGGAATGTTTGCTTGAAGTGCCTTGAGCCAACTAATGAATTGGCGCTATATCAATAAACTGAATATTTAAGAAGGACCCCGATGTGATGGTTACTTTCTCTTTCGATGCTTCTCACAATATTTCTAGAGCTCAAAATTCAGTCCAACCGGAACGGAACATTTAAATACTTAGGTTCTTCTTCCTCTTGAAGCAAACTTCCTCATAAAAACACACTCTCAATGACTCTTTCCTTTCCCCATAGCACAAAATAAAGATAAAAAAAAACACTAAATAAAAAAGCTGCAGTTATCCAAGTGGCCTTGCCTTAAACTTGTATCCCTCCCTTTCCTTGCATGTTCTTCCTCCCTCTTACCCAGAATGCAATGCAAGATGATCAGGCTCAGCTGAGCTATAAAAAGGCATTGGATGGGGGCGGGAGGGCTGCTGTGCAGCAGGAACCGTGGAGACGCTCTCCCTCTCTCTCTCTCTCTCTCTCTCACACACTCACGGGGATCCAGGGACGGTTAGCCCTCTTTCACTGGGATCTAAAGCCACCGCGCGGAAAAGAGAGGTCAGTACAGAGGACAAAGGCTCAATAGAAGAAGGGCAGGAATGTCTGTGACTGGGTTGGTGACGAACGAGAGGGATGTCAGAGCGAGGCACTGTAGGCTGGGCGAGTGGGCAGGGCTGTTAAAACAGATAGAAGGATGGAAAGATGGAATAACAGGCTGTAACTGTCATCTGGTCTCTGCAGACTTTGGTTTATCTGTGTGATGTGCAGGCATGTGGCTCTGTTTCATTCACAGATGCAGGGATTGCATAAGGTTTGTTTTATAATCTCATCATTTTGTCTCAACTTGTCATAGAATGTGGTCTGACATGTTTCTCCAAGACCTTTGTTTCCCAAACCTGCAGCCAGAAAGGTCACATTCATACAAGTGTGTGTGGCTCTTTAACTCCACCATTATGCCTCTAAGCCCCCACAAAGGTCATTAACAGCTGATTACAGTCTGAGTGCTATCGATTGGTGTTTGCAGCACAGTGATGAGACCACTTTCCAGTCCAATCACATCCACAGCAGCAGCAGCAGAGACAGATCAACAAGATTTGTCATGCTCCATCCTTTCACAAACATCGTGGAATATCTCCAAGTCCTCTGACGTCAAAAGGGTCCCCGGTTCTCCCTTAAAGGGCCAGTACTCCTAATTAAATTGCAGAAAGTTCTGAGTAATTTGTGCACAGAGTGAATGCAGCATTCAGAACTTTGTTTTCTGCTGCAGCTCCAAAAGCAGCTAATGAGGGCTTGGACTCCATGTGCCTTTTGAATGGTTGACACAATATACCTTAACAGCTGCAGATTCGCTGAGGCTTTTTTTAGCAGGACTGCATGTCAGAAATCATCATTAAGACAAGTGGGTGGGTCTGACGTTAGGATGGAAGCACTGGGTAGTCCAGGCATCCCAGGATACCTTACATTAAACACATTAGTTAAATATTCATGCATTTTAGGACAAAACCCCATAAAACATCATCATGTTGCATGTCAGCTCACTTCTAAAAATGTGATTAAATCTTTGCCACATCTGTTTTGCACAACAAACCCATTAGACGGGTCTAAAATGCCAAAGAGGCGTTGGACCCAGGAGATGGCACCATAATAGGCCAGAGTAGGATTCCCAAAGAGGCTCCGTGCTGACTCAGATAACAGCCTTCAAGTGACATTTACTCTGACCGCGGGGTTAATGTGTGCAGACATAAAACTGGACACCTGAGACGGAACCACCTCCTCCGGGGTGAAATGAAAAAATACAATAAAACATTTTCAAAGTTCTGCTTTTCTGATTTCACATTGTCTAGTTTCATTAGCTTAAATATTCACATTTTGCTCTTTTCCTTCAAAATTTCACCCCTTTGCAGATTTTTGCTCAGCTTGCCATTAATTAATGATTAATTGCAAAAATGAAGTTAGTGAAAATGGTGGTGAATGTTGCTTAAATGTGTGGTACACTGAAAAAACATTTTTTAATTATTACTTGTTATTATAATTGATCACTTTGAGTTTTTCATGCAGGCTGAACATGAAAATAGTCTCCCACACCAATCTCCTGCCTTAGCATCTGATAGAAAATAAACTGTGAAATGATAGGATTTGAAAATCCTCACATATTTATGTCACACTGTGAATTTGCACTCATGTACTCACCAATCTTGGCACCCACCCACCCACAGGAAGGTTTTATTGCAGCGGTGAGAGAGAATGGAGAGTTTCTTGGTGATAGTGACATTGCAACATGGATGAAAAAAGTGAGGTGTGTGCATGTAATAATAATAATGAGCAATCATGCTGTTTTCAGCTCACATCTGCACCAGCAGACTTGTACATCTCAGAACAGGAGCATCGTAGCTTTTTTTAAATGACTCATAAGGCATTGATTTACACTAGATAACACTGCAAATGTATTGAATAAACAAGTAAACCACACCTTTAACATTCACAGACTCCCTCATCTTGACTGGCGACGGGGAAGGCTGTTTTCTTAGCATCCAGGAAACAGCAGAGAATGTCTCGTCTAGTAGAAGCTAACCATTAGCATTAGCAACTCCACCACACAGCAGAACTCTTTCAGGTTTGAGGTATTTGTGGAAATAAAACATCAACATTGCAAAGCAAACAAAGTCAGTGGTAGAGCCACGTTGATGTTCATAATAATGATAATACATTTTATTTATAATGCGCTTTACATTACAGAAGTAATCTCAAAGTGCTAACGTGTATAGGGGACAGGTATAAGGTACACAGCTAGTTAAAAACACAGTTAAAATTTCAGGATACTATCAAGTATGGAAAATAAACAGTCCCCAGAAGTAGATAAAACCCATCTAAAAAGTCATTACAGTAGATGCAAACAATAAGTAAAAACAACACAATAAAGTAAAACACCCAATAGGTCGTCGTGCACTAGAAAGCCTTATTAAACAAAAAGGTCTTGAGGCCTTTTTTGAAAAGCTCCACAGATTGTGTGGCCCTTAGAAACTCTGGGAGAGAATTCCAAAATTGAGGGGCCACTGCCTTGAAGGGCCTGTTTCCCATAGTGGAGAGTTTAGTCAGTGGTTGGTGCAGGTGGTGTGAAGAGGTGGTAGAGCGGAGGGTTCTTGTGGCAGGGTGTGGGATGAAAAGTTCGCTCAGGTAGGCAGGAGCAGTTCCATGGATGCACTGGTGAGTAAGAAGGCCAATTTTGTACTGAACTTGATATTGGATGGGCAGCCAATGAAGTGATCTCAGAACTGGAGTGTTATGATCGTGTTTGCGTCTCCTCATCAGGACCCAGGCAGCTGAGTTCTGGATGTGCTGGAGCTTTTGTATGCTCTTGCCCGGGGCTCCAACGAGGAGGGCATTGCAATAGTCCAACCTGGAGGAGATAAAATGCATGGACCAGCTTCTCTGCATCTGGCTGGGAAAGAGAGGGACGGAGTATAGCAATGTTTTTGAGGTGGAGAAAAGACACCTTGCAGAGGTGGCGGATGTGGGTGTCAAATGTAAGATTTGAATCTAGTCTGATACCAAGATTTGTTACAGTAGAGGAAAGGGGAATGTCATGACCGAAAATGGAAATACTGCTAAGGGAGAGAGACTGTGTTTGATGTGGAGTGCCGTTAATGATAGCTTCAGTTTTATTACTGTTAAGTTGAAGAAAAATTGCGGCCATCCACACCCTCATCTCCTCCAGGCAGACCTGAAGTACAGATGGAAGAGTTTTAGGTGTAGTGGAGTCCATTTTCATGTATAACTGAGTGTTGTCTGCATAACAGTGAAACAATATGTTGTATTTATAGAAAATTTGTCCAAGTGGAAGCATGTAGATGGAGAAAAGGGTTGGCCCAAGAACTGACCCCTGTGGTACTCCACAATTTACAGTGTGGGGGAATGACTGACATTGTCCTAAAGCTACAAATTCCCCTCTGCCTGTAAGGTACTCCTGGAACCAATGAAGTGTGGTTCCTGAAAGGCCAACCACAGTCTGGAGTCGATTTAGTAAGATGGTATGGTCCACAGTGTCAAACGCCACTGACAGATCCAGTAGGAGGAGAAGAGATGGTGAGCCCTGATCCGCAGTTAGAAGTAAATCATTCATAACACGGACCATGGCTGTTTCTGTGCTGTGGGCTGAACAGAAACTGGACTGGATTTTTTCATACAGATTATGAGTATTGGGATGATTGTGGAGTTTGTGTGCTACAGTTTTTTCCAGTATTTTAGCTAAGAACGGTATGTTAGAGATGGGTCTGTAATGGGACAAGATAGCAGTGTTTAGAGAGGGCTTTTTCAAACGGGGACGAATTATTGCAGTTTTGAGGGCTGAGGGAACCTGACCTGAATGTAATGACTGGTTTATAATTGTAGTGATGAATGGACTGACGACTGTTATATTTGATTTTAAAAGTTGTGTCGGGAGAGCTTTTTATTGTTTTCTCCACCTCTGTCTGGGTGGCTGCTGAGAAATCAGAAAAGGTATTTAATGTATGTGGAAGGGTGGTGTCAAATGGATGCCGAACTGTACGACTGATGGAGGATCGGATTGATGCCACCTTGTTGGTAAAAAAAAGGTCCATGAACCTATTGCATTTATCTATGCTAGTGTCAGTATGTGGATTTGTAGGAGGGTTTAGCAGTGAATTTATGGTGTAGAATAGCTGCTTTGAATTTCCAGCACTGTTTACTAATGTCTGTGCAAAATATTTTGACCTGGCGGTAGTGAGTGCTCTGGAGTATGTTCTTTGATGGTCCCGGTAGGCCAGTGTATGAATAAGCAACCCCTTGGAGGTAAACAGACGCTCAAGGGCATGGCCATTTGTTTTCATTTTGCGTAGTTCTTTTGTATACCATGGGGCTGACCTGGAGAATGTAACTGACCTTGTTTTTATTGGTGCATGTGATTCAAGAATATTGTGGAGGTTTAGGTTGTAATTGTGAATGGATTCATTTACTGACGTGTGATGTTTAACAAACAGAATATTCTGAATGTCCTGATTAAAGTGGATGGGGTCTATGGCTTTAAAATTTCTGAAATGGATTTGACGTTTTGGCTTACTGTATGTGTCTTTTAGTGGCAGTTCCATGGAGACAACAATATGGCCAGACACACCTAAATCATAAACCTGTAAGTTTGTAATGGCGGGAGTGTCTGTAATGACCAAATCTAGGGTATGACCTTTTGTGTGTGTAGGAACTGTGACATGTTGAATAAGATGTAAGCAATCTAGTACATCCAGAAACTCAACTGCAGAACAGTTTGTGGGACAATCTACATGCAGATTAAAATCACCCATAATAAGTGTATAATGTGATATTGCACAGAGCGATGTAAGAAAATCTTGCATTTCAGAGATGAATCCAGGTTGTGGTTTTGGAGGACGATAGATTAGAAGCATGGTAATAGCTTTGTTTTGTGGTCTGCATTTAAAGAGCAGACATTCAAAAGTTTTTGGCTCTTGCATTGGGAGGGGAGTTACAATTACATCGCTTCGATGGATAATAGCTAGCCCCCCACCACGGCCGCTGGTCCTAGCCTTTTCCAGATATGTATACCCTGGTGGGCAGGCTTCATTTAGTAACAATATGAATCTGGTTTGTGCCAGGTCTCAATGAGGCACATCAGATCTAATTTTTTTGTCAGTATGATCCAGGATTAGACTACTCTTATTTGCCAATGACTGGGTGTTGAAGAGCTCTATTTTTAATTTGCTTATTATCTTACATTTTGGGAGAGAGCGGAGAAGGCTGAAATCTACTCCACATTTTCCAAGACGCCGATATTTTACTTCCTTGTGTGCTCCCTTATTAGGCTTTGTTGTTATCGTGCTCTGATGACATAGCACATATCGCGTTGGGCGAACGCCGCGAAACTGCAGCCGGTGGAGCTTTAGCCCTGTCGATGCAGATAGAGGCCCGGGCAGCCGAGGTGGATGCCCAGCCGGCCGAGTCAGAGGCCCAGGCGGCAAAGGTGGAGGTCCGGGCGGCGGAGGTGGAGGCCCGCCCAGCCAAGTCAGGGGCCCAGATGGCAAAGGTGGACGCCTGTGGAGCAGAGGTGAAGACCAAGCTGGCCGAGAAAGAGGCCCGAGCAGCGGAGGTGAAGGCCCAGGTAACAGACGTAGGGGCCCAGGAAGCAGAGGTGGAAGTCTATGTGGCAGAAGTTGAGGTCCATCAGGCCGAGGTGAAGGCCCTGGTAGAGATCCAGGCGGCAGAGGTGGAGGCCTGGGAAATAGAAGTGAGGGTCCATGTGGCCGAAGTGGAAGTTCATGCAGTACATATTGAGGCCCATGTAGCAGGGGTAAAGGCCTATGCAGCAGAGGTGAAGGCCCACACAGCAGAGGCGGTAGAGGTCCATGCCGCTGAGGTGGAGGCCCATGCAGCTGAGGCGGAGGCCTATGCAACTGAGGTGGAGGCCTATACAGCAGCAGTGGAGGCCCATGCACCAGTGGTGAGGGCCCATACAGCAATGGTAGAGGCCCATGCAGCAGTGGTGAGGGCCCATGCAGCAATGGTAGAGGCCCACTCAGCAGAGGTGGGGGGCCCTGCAGCAGCGGTAGAGGTCCATGCGGCTGAGGTGAAGGCCCATGTAGTGGCGGTGGAGGCCTATGCAGTAGTGGTGGAGGCCCATGCAGCAGCAGTGAAGGCCTATGCAGCAGTGGTGAAGGCCCATTCAATAGCGGTGGAAGCCTATGCAGCTGAAGTGGAGGCCCATGCAACAGTGGTGGAGGCCTATATGCAGCAGAGGTGAAGACCCATGCACCAAAGGCGAGGGCCCAGGCAACAGAGGTGGAGGTCCAGCCAAACAGGGTGCTGATCCAGCTAGCAGAAGTGATAGTCCAGCCAACAAAGGTGAAGACCCAGCCAACAGAGGCTGTGGCTCAACTGGCAATGGTGATTGCCCGGCTAGTAGATGTAAATAACTCGAAAGCAGAGGTAGACGTCCAGCTAGTGGAAGTGGAGGCCTAGCTGGTAGTGGTGCTAATACCAGTTGCAGAGGTTGCGGCCCAGTCAGCACTGGTCCGGCTAGCCATGAGGCTAATCCAGTTAAAGGTTGAGGCCCAGGGTTTAGTTCACCATCCCCAGCCAGGAGAAGCATCAGCATGAGTTAAAAACACCAAGAAGCGGTCTACCTGTGAAGGCTTGTTCCTGTTCATCTTGGGGTGGCCTGGCATGGCCATAGTCCAGTATTCTTGTGTATAGCATACAGTATGCTGACTCCATCTGGCTGGATACAGGGTTTGACTGCTAATTTTTCTTGGACATGCTGAGTTCAACAGAAGATAGAGAGTTATCCACACCACAGAGCAGGACTTTGACAGTACAATCCAAGGTCCTTTAAACTTTTTAGATGACTTTTGCAGCAAACACACAGGACCTGTCAAGCTGTGTGTCAGCACCTCGGCAGCCATTTTGATTGTTAGCCAATCTGAGGCGAGATGACCAAATATCAAGAACTAAGACTCCAAATCCTGCCATCGTCTGCTCAGCTGTGATCTGGCTCACTTCTAGTTCCTGAAACTGGTGCACCGGATCCCCCCCTCCCTGAGTACGATTTGCAAGGCATTCATTCTTACACCCAACCAGCATGCATAGTTGGGCCCCTTATATACTTTTGCTCTCACTGGTTTCAGCAGGCCCTACGTGGGTTTTCCGAGGTACCCAGGTGGTTTGACCCATACCTGGGCTCATTAAAATCTATTAGGGCAAATCTCTGTGGGGCCATCATGGAAACTGTGGACAAACCCTGCTGACATCCATATTTTGCCCATTAAATTTGGAATATGGAACATTATAATAAAAAACTACATTTAAAAAAATAATACCTCTGGGGGACATTTAGAGGTGTGCAGAATACAGTTTTTCCTTTAAAAGCTATATTTAAAAAAAGAAATAATCAAAATGTTATTTTGTCGGGCACGACACTGGGTTTATGTTTACATCTACCAGTCACTAGAGGACACCCTTGCGATTGGTCACTGGGTGACGGAGACATAAACATCCATCGAAAGTGATGGAGACTGCTAGCGTGTGATTGGTCACGATGCAGCTTCCTGTAAATTTGTCACCAGCATTGCCGTTGCCCCATCAAAAAGTAAAAAGATATTTTGCGGCAGACCCAGAACCAATTGAACACATTGTGGAAAAAGTCTGAAAATATGAATTCTTATTCACCCGTGACTGAAGGAGTACAAGATATGGAGCAAACGTGGACAGAAATGACGAAAAATGTGGGTTTAGAGGTGGTGACCGCATGAAGAAGCGTAGGAGAATGAAATTAAATATATAAACACAGTAAATATACTATCGTGGACCAGATACATGAGTGTTATGGTGGCAGGATACCACAGCTAAGCACCACGCCTTCTGTTGTCCTGGCAGGGAATTGCTTTGCAACGCTTGTGTGAAACTCGCATGTGAGATCCTTTCTGACACTTCATGTGTGTCTCTCTGTTGTGGAGCTCACTGAGAAGTATAAATCAGGGTTTACATCCATATGAGGCCCACCTGTGCATGCTGGCTGGGGCTAGAAACCACTGCTAATGTTCTGACTAAATGAATGAACCACATTTGAAATACATAACTAATCCACATAAAAGTAGGAAAACCGACTTTAAACTAAAACTGGCCTGCAGCTGCATGCTCATGTTACAAGATACCCCCCCCCAATCCCCCCCCCCCCCCCCCCCCACACCATCCCAAAAAAAGTAAATGACAGCAACTATTGTAGCTTCTTCAAATGGATTTTCAACTTGCAGCATGTGACACAAGCAAGCTGCTACACGAAGATAACTGTCAACACATTCAACTCATCGTCTTTTTTCTGTTATCTGTCACTGTGTCCGCTAGAAGAAAGAGTCAGGGGAAACTATTGGGCCTTTGCCTTCTTCAGACATTTATACCAAATTAATAGCCCTCTGCCTACTGTCACATAAAGGCCTCAAGTTGCTGCAGGTTAACTAAAAGAGCAGCAGCAAATAAACAGTTAGGAAATAAAAAAGGAGAATCGTTTTTGTCAGTCACATAATCGATCACAATGATCTCATTCAAAAAATATCAGTTACGGCAAAAAATGGAGATGCAGTGTTAGTTTGTATTTTTGCTGCAAGTAGCACACACACACACACACACACACACACACACACACACACACACACACACACACACACACACACACACACACACACTGAATTCTGTCATTGTTTGAATACTTTTTAAGTATTATAAAGTAATTTTACATAAAGTAAACTTAATAAAAATAGTTGCCTTCAAGTAAAAGAGGTTTGATTCTGTAACATCAAAATGACAAAATGAATAAAAAGTGCTACCCTTTAAACTATTCACCAAAACATCTAATTTTTATTTTTCTTATAGAAAAATAATTTATTAATTTTTCATTACATTTATTTCATTTTCATTATGATTATTTTACAGTTATGTCCCTTTTCTCTTTCTCCTTTTCTCTAGTTGAAGGAAAACCCTCTACAGACACAACACAATGGCAGGTAAAATGTGCTCTTCAGTAAAATGATTAATGCTTTATTACAGATAATTAATTAATGTGAACGTGTTCATTTGTTTTGTTAATATTGATATAATGAGATTTAAGTCAGCCTGAAGCAAGCAGCTGTAGATTATTACACTCTGTTGCCCTCTTCTGGTATTTTATGAGAATGCCCAAAAAATATTTCTAATTATTTTATAATAAAATCAAATCATTATGAAAACACAAATTATGTATTACAATGGAACACTCGTATAAACATGTTGTCACACATTTTGAATTTCTTTTTAAAATTGTTTGTTTTTCAATTAGTCTTTAATTGCATCTAAACCTTCAGTTATATTAGGAAGGAACTGTTGCCATGTCAACAGATTTTGTTGAGCAAAATTAAAAGAGCCTGCTGCATCAACAAACTGAGAAAAGCACAAATATGGAGAACACATCTACATTTGACTCACAAATAGGTTTGTTATTGAAATCTGTGCTTTTATTAGAAGAAAGAGTTTCTATCTAACCTTTTTTTTTGCTGGTGTTCATTTCAGACAAGATTAAAGATGCCAAGATCATCTTTGTTGTGGGTGAGTCCACCGTCTTAATGGTCCAGATAGTTTTCCGTAAAGCTCCTTGATTATAAATGTTTTACCTGCTTCAGTTTGGAGAAATGTATTCATTCTGTCTGGACACGCTAATGCTAGCTTGAACAGGTCCAGACACGAAGTAGGTTTCTGCTTTCTTTAAAAAACAAGTGCAGGAAAAAAAATACGTTTTTATCCTAGTTTATAAACCATTTTACATCTGTTATTTTCAGTTACATGCGTATTCCCCCCCCCCCCCCCCCGCCACAAAAAAAGGACATTTTAAACTCAGTACCAGAAATGCTACAACTACCGGCCAGCAAAACCAGAGAAGCAAATGTGAAGGATGAATTTAAAAATGACGGTTGCACAAATGTTTTTAAAATAGTGTTTATGTAACAAGCTGAATATCAGAGAATAATCCCCTCAGTAACCGGAACTCCTGTGTAGCCGTCAGCCAGACACTATTGTCTAGCTAACGGCTACATTAGAGCTAAGATCTAATTCCTCCCAACTGAGGCTGTTTAAAGATCTGACCTCCTTACTTTCAGACTTTACCAAAAATATTCAACCACATAGCTGCTGTCTTTATTTCTTTAGGTGGACCCGGGTCTGGAAAAGGCACCCAGTGTGAGAAGATAGTTGCAAAGTATGGCTACACTCACTTGTCTTCTGGTGATCTGCTCCGTGCTGAGGTGGCCTCTGGCTCTGACAGGGGCAAACATCTCCAGGCCATCATGCAAAAGGGAGAGCTTGTACCTCTGGTAAGGATTTGATAAAAAAAAAAACCTCTCCATGATGGAGGTGTTTTGCATATTTGGTGGCTGTTTGCAGGACACAGTCTTGGACATGATTAAGGAAGCCATGATCGCAAAGGCTGACGTCTCCAAGGGCTTTCTTATTGACGGCTACCCTCGTGAGGTAAAGCAGGGAGAGGAGTTTGAGAAGAAGGTGGGTGTGTTTGTGTGATCTTGCCTTAAAATTCAATTCTGCAGCAACAACAATCTTAAATCGATGTTTTGATTCCAGATCGGCAAACCATGCCTGCTGCTGTACGTCGATGCCAGATCGGAAACCATGGTCAAGAGGCTCTTGAAACGTGGTGAGACTAGCGGTCGGGCCGACGACAACGAAGAGACTATCAAGAAGCGTCTGGACTTGTATTATAAAGCCACCGAGCCAGTTATCGCTTTTTACGAGGGCCGGGGGATTGTGAAGAAGGTACGTGTTTGAGAAACGCCGCCAGGAGGCCAAATTCAACGTTTGGATGAAACATGAAACTTGACTTTTTCTCCTTGTGACCCTACAGGTGGATTCTGAGCTGCCCGTCGATGACGTCTTTGTCCAAGTCTCTCAGGCCATTGATGCACTGAAGTAAAGAACTAGAAGAGCTGTGTCTGGTTGTGTGTTTCCTTTAGACTCTCCTCTTTCGTAATGACTAGGCATGACTAACAAGATTAATTATAACTTTCCCAAACTGAATACCTTATTTCCTCTTCATAAGGATGAAAAAGGAGGGCCACTGAGAATTAAAGATGCCTTAAGTCTAATCCATAGCAATAAGAATTTGAGTTTGAAGACACAAACCAACAAATCAGCCTAAGGCTGCATCTTGAAATTAATTTTTTTCCCCACACATGAGCTAGTTTGTAGTATAGAAGTCTTGCTTTGATTATGTGCTGAATATTTATGTGTAAATCCCACTCTGGGACAAACACAGTGTCCTTAAAGAATCTGCACAACACTCACACAAACAGACGGATGGTTTTTGTTATGACAGTCTTTTTGCATTAAAGCTCAAAAACACCTTTTTTCTCTCGTATTTTATTTTTATACGGAACATCAATTATCTGAATTCCTGCTTTGATGCCTCAGTATTAAAATACCTAGTTGGCTCTAAATGGCTTGCTGATTGGTCAGAAACAAAGATAGTGTGAGCTTTTCCTTGTTTAAGGTGTGCCAAATAAGCTACTAGGCAGGCATTATGCAAATGTGGTGATCTCGATAAGGAATGAGGAGTCTAGGGCTGTCCAGATGCAGTGTCATCATCTGCTCTTTGCAACTTTGTAAAGCTTTTATAAGCACAAAAAGGATTTTAGAGCTCAGACAGTCAAAAAACAAAACCCTTTATGACTCCTTTATCATTGTGCCCTTGAATAAAGTGGGGAAACCATTTACATATTATAATCCTTCTTTTGAACAATCACAACCTTCATAGAACCGTTCATGACAATTGAAATAATAGATTTTTCTTTTTTTTCCATCTATTATTAAACATGTATATCATTTATAAATAAATAAGTAAATATATGCATGTCCTGCACCTCCCTTCTACTTGTTGAAGGTGCAATTACAAGTGTCAGCCACAACCCTGCTGCATTCTGCTATAGCTAGCGCTTGAGCCAACTAATACTAAAATAAACCACAAAATAAAAAGAGCCACACTGTTTGAAAAAAATTATTATATTATTATAAAAATATTATTACTTACAAATCCAACAAAGCCAGGTCACCATCTGTGATTTAATAGCTTCCTTTAGCATCCTGAAACTAGCGTAGGCTGCGCCAATGTTTCCGCTGGTTTTAGCTCTCTGCTTCACCTCCAAAACCATTACTCTCTTACTTTTATTTCCAGGCTACGCCATGATGCAGAAAAAGCAAACTTCTTGTGTTTTTACTGGACGATAGGTGAACTGAAAGTGCTAAACTAGCATTACAGCTAACAGCCGTAAAACTGGTAAAGAGTGCCCCCAGGACGCCCAACCGTTCCACAAAACTGTCAAGTGTGGTTTTTGCTCAGACGAGGGCTGCAGAGTGGTGTAAAATAAGAAGCTGGTCTAGTTTGTAACCCAACAATTACTGAGATTAAAGCCCTATCTTAAAAAAAAAAACTATCTGTTGTTAAAATCCTTGAATAAAAAAAAAGGTGCTTGGGTTTGATTGGCAATATTTTAATGGTCTGTTTCATGTTATTTCAACTGAGTAAGGACCTTATTTTGAAACCTGGACAAAAACACACACAAGAAGACAACAACACCGGAAATGCCATCTAATAATAATATACAGCTAAGCATGCAGACCAAACAGGATATGACACCCTGCAAAAGCAACAGCTCTCCGACGTAATTCCAGTGATCCTTTTGAGGCCTCGATGACCAACTAGGTCTTCCTCTACCTCTCACCTTCCTTCTCTTCCTCTTACACAAACACACGTTTCCAACCGGCTGAGCAAACATTGCCGGCTTTTTCTCCAAGGACAGCTCTGATGACTCTGCTCTGTAGGGATGAGGAAGAGGAAAACTGCTCAGGAGGTGGACAGGATGTGTCTATCGGAAAGTCAATCAACAGAGGGCGTCTGTATGCGCTTTCAAAAAGTCTTTGAGGATGTTGTTTGAATGCCTGGAATGCTGCTCTTACTCCATAAAAAGGTACAAAACAAAGAGGATATATGAGGTCTTGGTGGAATTCATCACGTAGCACAAAGAAAAAGTACTAAGTCAAGAACATTTGAAACACTACGTGATGATTTGCCTAAAGTCACTTCATGAGTTGTCAACATGTGAGTTAAAGATCAAAATAAACCTCTATATTTCACATCTGCAAGAGAACTAAGAGGATGCAATTACGCTGCCATGTGAAAAAATTAAGAAAATAAAATGAAAGATAATTCTCTATTATGCTTGTACTGTAATTATTATAATAAGTGTCTCATTTTTTTATAGTCAACAAAAGTTATAATTTTTTTAATTTCTTTTGTCTAATTAAACTTTGCAAGGTTTCCTTTATGTTGTCTTTTGATCAACAATCACTTTTAGCTTTTTTGAAGGCTAAACTCAAGTGTATTTCAAAGTCAGTCAAGAAAAAGATGACAGATTGAGGGCAAAACAAGCTGGTGGCGTATGATGAGCCTCAAATGAGATGCCTGTTTATTTTTAAATTATGACCCCAGAAAATTCTATGGTACAGTGCCCAGGAAAATGTTCTGTACATTTCTTTTCCCCCTGCTTGGGTGTCTTTCCTTGTGCATTTTGTCATCACGGGCTCCCATAGAAGGAAACATAGCATCTAATATAGCCTCGTCCAGAGACTTGGAGCTTCGCCAATGTATTTTTGACTTGATTCTTATGATTGTATGTTACGAAGCCGCCAATACTTTTTAACAACTGGGCATTATTTAATACAATTTCAACAACATTTCATGGATACTTGTAGATATTAATAGTAAAAAGTACACAGTGTCCTTTTTAGGAACTCCAAGCAGATCTTATCCACCGCTGTGGCCTTGCCACCGAGGAGCATCTTGACCACCTCAGTGACCTCAGCACCAGAGATCAGACAGCCCGATAAAAATCACAAGAACAGTAAAAATATATTTTAAAAAGAAGATAATTTAAAAAATTGGAGAAAAAAGAAGATTGAAAATTAAGAATAAAAATGAAACAAATAAATACATAAATATCAATCAATCAGATTTATTTATAAAGCGCTTTTCAAACAAAGTGCTACTCGAAGTGCTTTACAAAATGACCCCAGATTCCCAAAACAGGTTAAATATATTAACAGACATATGCAAGCACACACACACACACACACACACACACACACACACACACACACACACACACACACACACACACACACACACACACACACACAAGTAAAAATTATATTTGATAAACATGGGAGTTGCTAGAATGACAAAAAGTCAGCAAAGCTTGAAAAAAATAAGTAAAATGTTTATACATTTCCTTTATATAAAACATAAAAATGTTCTATATTATGGCCATTTATGTTTATTTTTGATAGTAGCCCAGCCCCTCATGCTGCAGAGCCCTGATCTGACCTGGTCTGACATCAGGCTGGTTCCAAATAGGAAATGTTCTTCACAAACACATTAAAAAATAATAGTTGGAAAACTAAATAAAAACTTTTATGCCATCATCTTTTTTGATCCAGGTATTTGTGTTCAAATCACATGTTACTGTTTTTAAATTATAAGATGTGGTTGAAGTCATGTAGCAGTGTTTGTTTATTACTGATTTTGTTTCTTTCATCTAACGTCTGACAAAAAGTCTTTAAATACCAACCAATGGGGACGTCGCTGTGGCTTTATCTCTTTATTTCTGCACAATTTACTACGAGTTAGATGAGAATAAATTGTGACTCAACATAAATATAGATTTCAACCACATATGTCAACGTTTTCTCCTCTGAAACTTTTCTCAAATTCTGAACTAGAATTTCACAAAATCGTTCAAATTTCTTTTTAACCTCGTGATACTCCTGATGGTCACATGGCTCCCTTTCACTTATATTTGATCCTGTTCCTATTAAGGGAGACGGTCTTACACACACACACACACACACACACACACACACACACACACACACACACACACACACACACACACACACACACACACACACACACACACACACACACACACACACACACACACACACACACACACACACACACATTTGGTAGATAATTCATGTTAACATTTTTTTATATAATATTTTAATTTCAGAACTGGCATTTTTCCAAACTGTTAGATTTTATTCCCAAAATGTTGCTTTATTGCTAAGAAAACTTCTGGCCTCAGGAGGTTAAACGAAGAATTCCCAGGTTGCAAAGTTATTTCTTTCATCAAGTAGGATGAAATAATCCATGAGTGCGAGAGGTCAATGCACAGACTACAAAAGAATGGACAGAGTGAGTTTTTTTGTTTTCATGCTTGATGTAACTGAAATATTAATGTTTCAGGAATATTTTAAAGGTTGAATTGTTTCTGCGCATGTTCCAGAACAGTGAGCACTTAAAGCTGAGGAGGTCAGAGTGCTCTTGCGGAAACGTTTTTATTATAAAATCCATAAAAAACACATTATAAAAGCATTGCAGGTATCACCTAGAGAAGTCCCAGCAGACGTGCATAATGTCACAGCTCTGAAATCAGTGTGCTGAATTCACCCACGCAGCAAAAGGCTCATTTACTACTTGTGACTGCTTAGCTGTGACAGAGCCACCCTAACGGTCGTTCCAACTGTAACCTGGACCATCGGCGTGTCACAAGGTCACCATCTGGGGCATTCACACAACTTTGATCTGGTGGTGCACTTTCACAGGAGTTTCTGGGAGCTTTTATGTCTATAATTAATTGGGACCACTCACTTGACTAAAGCCTTACTTCTACTTCTCTGAAATCCTTTCAGAATGAGATATGATTTAGAAAATGGGGCTGCTCTGTAATGAGGGACTTGTCATTTGGTTGCCTTAGAGGATTGGAGATGTACGTTAAATGACTTTCTAATGATGACAGGCTTCTGCTCATCTTTTATCAGTCTGGGATATTACCAGTGAAAGCCCAAGCGCGAGCTCCCCCACCCTTTTTGAGAAGGATAAGGAAACAAGGAAGCCGGCACAGACTCTTTATTCTCTTTCTCTGCTCTGCTGTAGACTGGTGTGCTCATGGCCGGCTGGCTGACTGGCAGTACAGAGACCCAGTGGCACCGTGCGGGAACCAACGTCAACCTGTGATGAAAGACGATGGCCGATTGCTTCCTGTTATTGAAAAACTGCTCATGGGAGGAGGTGGAGCTTTGGGGTGGGGGGCATCGGTAAAGTGGAAAACCTCTGAAGCTGAGTGCTGCTGTCGGCGTGTCCTTTAGCGAGGTGAACGCCAATGGTGACATTTTCCTCATCTTTAAAATGTGAGCTGAAAGATGGCTGCAGTCGTTTATGTTGCAACGATAAACAATATGGACTTGATTACGAGCACGTGCATTTCTTTCAGTCTATATACACCA